AGTAACTATAAGGCCAACCTGTACAGGGCATGAATGATGTAACAAGGAATGACTAACAGACTTGCTTTGTATGCTAGATCTGACCTGTATTTCTGGATGAGTGACCAGTTTGAAGTTCCTAGAAACTCCAAGCTCTACCTGGACCAAAACTGCATAAATGTTGCATCTAGAGATGCACAGTACTAGATTATTACTTTAGTGTGGTGTACTTTAGCCTTTCCTTAAGATAACATTTGTTGAGCTCTGTAATGTTTGATTACCTATGTTTTAATGTCTATAGAATAATTTGATGGACTTATTGATTCCCCTTTATAAACACCATGTTTGTAAGCCAGCATCAGTAGTAAATTGATGCCCAGAAAGTTCATTTATTTTAGCCAGATACCAGGTTTTGTCCATGGTCTATCTGTAAACTTTGTGCATGCATTCACAACCTATTGTCACTTGTAAGTTGAGATGAAAAAAAAATCCCTTTTCTTAAATTTATGAAAAATATCAATTTAGTACATGTAGTTATTATAAATTAAAAAATTCTCAGGGGAAAAAAAAGATAGAAATGACTTTTTTGGTGTGTCTTCAAGCCTTATTGAATTTAGTGGACTGATAAAAATACTCCATATGCAGGTGCTACATAAATAAGGGAAGTTGACGATAGAAAAGTTGAACACTTCCTCGAAGTGTGCTCTTCGAAAATCTGAGTTTGTTAATATGAACATGTGAGTGCTCCAACTTTTTATGAGTTGAGATATGTTGAAATAATGTTGTTCATTAATTTGACTAGATAACTAATGAACATATATGCATGTACTAAAATTTACTGATCAATCATGTTTGCAAAGCACTAGTATACCTCAGAGTTTATGTATCATAGCCACTATGTCTCTAGACTTAAAGTATAATGTTTATGAAATCTACAGATAGCACTATGATACAGTAAAGATAATCTTAAAACTATATTTATATATATGTGTACAGCAAGGTGACTCGGGAGAGCAGTTTGGACTTGTAAACTTTTTGGGTTAGGGGGATTATCTTAGGGTGACAGTGATGTTTCTGATTGAATCTTCAATCCAACTAAACTTCCTTTTTAATACAATGTATGTAATTTTTATTTCTTTAAGGAAAATGTAATCGATTGCAAAGTACTAAACTAAACAGGAAATGTCAAGATTTTAGGTCATATTTCTTATGTTTCTTTGTTTCATATGACAAGATTACAAAGTAGAAGTGTTTGGTTTCGAGGCATCCATAGTATTTCAGTTACCAAGGAAATAATTTTAGAAAAAGTAAGGCTTAAATGTTATCCATGTATATTCTTAATTTAATTTGTCAGTTAGTTAACAAAGTAGTTGTTTTCAAAACATCATGAAAAAGTACTAACATGTATAATGTTAACCAGGTAATTCACAACTTTAAGTTAAGGCACCTCTCTGCATAATTTCAATTATTATCTGAAGCAGTCATTTTTAATATCACAACCAAAAAATAGATATTTTAGAAACCAATTTTGAATAGAAGGGAAATTAATCTATTTATATATACAGTGGAACATCGATATCTCAAACACTGATATCTGGAACAACATGGATATGTCAAACCGATTTGGAAGTCCCAATCACTTATTCTTATTTTATGTTCATTAATTTACTGTTATTACAGTTTTGCTAAAAGATGTATGAAGATCAATATTTACAATAAGTCAAATTTTGAATAAACTTAAGAGAGTAAAAGTATTTAGATTCTAGATATTTAACTCAACATTGTTAATATGAAAGTGAACTATTAAAGTGGAACTCTGAACAAATAAGAGATGATATGAAGCTGTTTGTTATTTAACGTCCTCTGCACTGAGGCAGCTAACTCCTTAGACATTGTGTGTCTTTATATATATATATAAATATGTGGTACTCTGTCAAACACATACGTACATGTAAGGAGTTGCTAGAACTTCCTGGTTGTAAGGAGAAGATATTATGTAATGTCCCACGTGTAGTGATCTCTTTGTATTCTAACTATAATTGAGGAAAATTTAGGTAAATGGAAACGTGATTTCATTGAGGTGGTACTCAAGTGCATGAAAACCTTTTATGTTCAAAGTGATTTGTGGATTACTGTTGAAAGGTCAACTCATTCTTAAAGTAGGTCAAGGAAAAGAAACTGTATTTTATAGTAAAATGTGTATTTTATTTTTTCCTTTTTTGTGATTTCTGTACAAAGGCATGGAAGGAGTGTAGATTACAATCACTGATTTTGTACAGGTCTGAGTGGAATAAATTTCTTTTATTCAGAGAGAATAATGTTTCTTTGTTAAAATCATAATTCTTTGTAAATTTCATCAGTTAGAATAGAGCCCGGACCTCTAACATTATATACATGACGGAATCGAGTAATAAAAGTGCATGAATGACCATGTAGAAATATAATAGATGTACATACTACATGTATTAACAACACTTTTTTTAAGGTTAAGGACATAGTTTTGAACTTTATTTTCTTACTCCCTGTATAATTTAGGAGTTCCAATAATTGAGGGACCTTTCTACTATTTAATGATGCTTGGTAATACTTAACTCCTTTTCTGAATCAAAGAAATATAACTGGTGGATTTGGGGGGGGGGGGGGGGGGGGGGGGGGGCTGACCCCCCTTTTTGTGTCCAAAAATATACATAAGATTAATAAATCAATTTTTTGGTGTGGGATATTGCATTAATTATACCTAAAATATAGCTAAAATAAGTCAAAAAACTGTTCCTTAAACCCGAGAGGTTTTGAAGGCTTTGCCCCTTTGGCTCCCAACTGGTCGGTCTTCCCTTTTCAAAAATCCTGGATCTACCACTGAGGCCAAACAAAAAAATATGTGTGGTTCCGGTTACACTTCCAAAAAAATTAGGGTAGGTAGGTAGGGACTTTTTTTTTTTTTTTTTTTTTTTTTCTTTTTTTAACAAAATGATTTTCTTAATTTTTTCTAAATAATACCTATCACTGCTTTGCAAATGGCATTTAGATGTGGTGTGATAATATACTAGTCAATATTGGTAGGGGACACCCACATGCTAGCTTGCTTTGGATTTAACACTATTAAACACTTGCACTATGTTTTGCAAGGAGGCTGTCATTGCTGAAACTAAAACTTAAACTGGATCCATTGATGGAAATCGGGGGAAATTCCGGAAAAAATATGAAAATTGCCAAAAAAAAGTTTAGGGTCGGGGGTATAAAATAGGGAAGGTTGGGTAACCGGAACCACACATATTTTTTTTATTTGGCCTGAGTATATTCCGTAAAAACCTATTTTTGCCCCATAAAAGCCAAAGGAGATGGGCGAACATAGCGTGCAAAAAGCCTATAGCTTCAGAAGTATAAAAATCATGTTCAGTTTGTGAATTTAATATTTAGAGTAAAGTTCTCATTATTGAAATTTATGAAATTGTGATAAACAAAACTTTTTTGAGGAAAATTTTCTCGGCAAAATTTATTCTTTTATTAAAATTAATGTGGTATTCATGGGGTTCGAACCCTAGCAATAAAAATCCTGAGTATCATTTTCTTTCAAAACTAGCACGCTAACCACTGGACTACACAAGTCCTGACAAATAGTGGCATTTAAATCATGTTTGTGATATGACCCTTGACTTAATGGACTTCAAGTATTTCTCGAAAAGTTGCGAATGTTATGTCATAAACATATATTTTTAAGGTATAGTGGGTCATTGCTCCATATTTTTGGTAACCAAAAAATGAATATTTTTATGCAAACTTTGAGGATTAACTTTCAAAAAGGTGGCGCGAAGACCCACTCATATCGAAAAATAGTGTTATAGTATGAGAAAATGACTCTTTTTGCCCGCTTTAGTGTGTGTCAAATATTTCACAGACAAATAATTTCAATCTTTGAGGGATTTTTGCAAATTGTAGAGATTTTACATAAAGTATGTTATAATGTTAGACGAAATATCAGGGAAAATTTTAATATAATTGAAATTTAATTTTTTGTCTTCATGTTTGTCACACTATAGGCTTATCGCTCGTCATGTTCACCCATCTCCTTTGAAAATATCTAGAATATTACAGTACTATATGAAAAATCTGAATTAGGAAAAAATACTATAGTTTAAAAGTAGATTATTGACAATTCTTGTTTCTTTGACATCACATATTATTTGGATTTTGTTCATTATTTTTAAGAAAGAGGATGAAATGGTCAAAATGTGTTCAATTTTAAAGATTTTATAGCAGCTGTGACATATTACTTTTGGATCAACCCTCATGCAATGCATACTTGTATAGCAAATGTAGAGATGTTTGAAACAAAAGCATACATTGTAAGTACATTTACAAACGTGCATGTATCTGTACACTCGGTACACACTCCTAAGATGAGTGGTTAGATATGATTGCCTGATTTGAAGTATGTGACAGTTCTTCTGGAGTAATCCCTCATCTAACGGAGTGGTTGAATTATACATGTAGATAAATTATGAAGTGGTAGCTAGTTGAAGTTGTACTAGATTTCAGTACCATAAAATCCCCCTCACGTGTTGTCAAATACACCAACTAATAGACAGTACTTAAGAATCATATAGGGATAAAGTATGTATCCTTGTATAGCTATTAAATCTTGTTTGTGCAAGTTTTGTAAATTTGTCAAATAATTCAGAATAATCCAGTTGTTAAGAGTACAAATGTATATTTGTACTAAGGATATAAAGTATTTAGATTTGCAAAAAAAAGACAGATTTGCTTTGTTTTATAATTTTTTTTCTAACCATATTTTAAAATAAATCTTTGTGTTTTGACATTAAATATGGAAAATGAAACCATGTGTCAAATTTACTACATAGTCTTAGTGTAGATTTGGCCTTGACGTAAAACAGCTAATGTGAGCCAAAATAGAGATAATTACTTATTATGTTTATCTGTATTTGTAGAGACTATTATCTGTTACACACATATATGAAACCATATCCTGTATCTATTAATTGCCTGTATGTACATTTTAGGTCTTCAGGATAACTAGAGGGTGATGAATCAGAGATAAGTTTTCCCTACTTCAGATGTTCCTACCAAATATTGTTATGTCTCAGTAATTCGTTAGGTGTTAACGAGTATGTCGGAGAGGAGAAGTGTTCCTCTGCCTCCAAAAGCAGCTGAGACTGAAAGAATCTCTAAATTGATTGGTCAGCAGAGAAGGCAAGTCCACCAATGAGATGGGAGCTAGAAATATTTCTTGTACTGCTTATCAATTTATGTATTTTTCACTGCTTGCCTTATACGACTTTAGAAATTCTTTCTGTCTGCAATCCAAGACAAGGGAGTGCTCAGGACTGTCCACAGAATGCTAGTACTCTTGCTTTTTTATTCTGATCTGTTCTGAAGTCACAACAGTTTTCTCTTTGAACACCATCGTTTACCAACTTGCATGTATAGCTGCATGTGAGGTATTCTGAGCACATTTCGGTATTTAGTCTTACACACAGTATTTAATTGTAAATTCTAGGACTGAAGGAATTTCATAAGGTGTCACTTGGCACTCTTATACTACAATGCTTTTTGTAAGTGGGGGAGGAAAAAAATCTTGCTGCATGTAATATATTTAAATATTTATACCAATTGAAAAAAATATATGATTATGGAATTATTGAAACAAGAAAGATAACACAGTAGTATTAGTACAATATACATATACTTGCATTAGATGTACTGGTGTTACTTGGAATTAATTTATCATTGCATAACTTGTATATGCATCATGCAGTAAGATATTCTTACATTATATAAAGCTTAAGACAAATTTTGTTGTCAAATGATTGTTTTCTATTCTTTGTTTTGAAATCGCACGAAAAGATATTCTCTTCATGTTAAAAATGGTTTGATAAACATTTAAAAAAAGTATATAGGCATATTCAATTTAAAGACATATAAGCATTCTATTTTTTTTTTTTTAAAAAAAAAATTTTTTTTTAGCTCACTTGAGCTGAAAGCTCAAGTGAGTTTTTCTGATCACAGTTTGTCCATCTGTCTGTCTAGCTGTCTGTCCATCTGTAAACTTTTTCACATTTTTCGACCTTTTCTCAAGAACCACTGAGCCAGTTTCAACCAAACTTGCCACAAAGCATCCTTGGGTGAATGGGATTCAAGTTTGTGCAAATGAAGTGCCATGCCTCTTTCAAGGGGAGATAATTAAGAAATAGTGAAAATGTTGTGGTATCTTTTAAAATCTTCTTCTCAAGAACCACGAGGCCAAAAAATTGAAACTTATATGAAACTTTCTTTACATAGTGTAGATACAAATTTGTTCAAATCTTGACCCCGAGGGTAGAGTGGGGCCACAATGGGAGATCAAAGTTTTACATAGGATTATATAGCAAAAAATCTTCAAAAATCTTCTTCTCAAGAACAGCAAAGCCCTGTTTATTCATATTGATATGGAAGCATCCTCAGGTAGTTAAGATTCAAGTTTGTTCAAATCAAGACACCCAGGGTGTTGGGTGAGCCACAATAAGGGAACAAAGTTTTACATAGGAATGTATATGTAGGAAAAAATCTTGAAAATTCTTTTTAAGGACACTCCTGCAAAGTCATTATTAGTCATATTAATATAGACTGATGCATCCTCAGGTAGTGTAGAATCAATTTTTTTCAAATCATGACCCCTGTGGGTAGGTGTGGGCCACAACAGGGGATCAATGTTAAACAAAGGAATAAATGAAAAAAAATCTTCTCAAGAACAGCAGTGCCATGAATAGTCACATGTGATAATTCAGAAGCATCTTCAGGTGGTATAGATTCAAATTCAAATCATTTCCCTTGGGGTAGGGCATTAGACCTCAATAAAAGATCAAATGTCAGGACCACTTTTTATATTGAACTTTTCAATACTGAACTGATTTCTTCTTCTTTTTTTTTAGCCAAGTGCTGAGGTGAGCGATGTAGCCCATGGGCCTTTGGTTTTGTTTTTTTTTTTTTACTGATATGGAGTTTTACTTATTGTCCATTAATTAGATTCAACCTTGGAATTCTGCCCTCTTACATTTACAGATATAAGGGAAAAAAACTGCCTGTCACAATTTTTGTGTTGCTAAAAAAAGGTTGTACATTTATCTTATCTTTTTTGGGTCACCAGGTCATCATTGTAAAAAGTAAGCCTTTTTCCAGGTTAAAATATTTTAAACAAAGGACATTCAAATGTCATTCAGCTGTTTAATTTCCTGCAACTTACTGAAGGTCTTGACAATAATGAACTCTTCTTTAAAAATGTATGATGATATATGATGATTATCCATATTATTACGGAAATAAAAAATATAATTGGCTGTCCTCAAAAACTTTAATTTTGTTCGGACAGTGTACAGATTTATCAGCTCAAATTGTATCATAAAAAAACTTACTTACATTTATAATTGTAGGGTTTTGGTCTTCCAGCTGCTCTTTGGTTATATAACTCCAGTACTAATTGTATTAAAGGCCCAGTTTTAAGAAAGAAATTTGATGTACCCGTAGCTTGCACCCTAACAGCTCATATATTGAAATAAACACAAGAATTCATTTTGAATTGTCCATTAAAAATTATTGTAATAATTATATGTACAAGTATACATGTAAGCTGAATTAGCCTTGAGCAATTATTGATCCAAAGACATATTGCTTTCAGTTTAGGAAGAAATTTTAAATATTAGTAACAGACAGCTAGGATTTAAAATACCTCACGTACAGGAAAAAGATAAGAGACCTGCACACAAGTATATTGCCTGACACAGTTTTATTGATTATAGAATGATTGGTGTTGACTTCCAAAGGAGAAGTTTTAACTTCCGTGTTAAATTGTTCTGGATCTACAGTTGTTGGTTTTTTTTGTGAGAAACTCATCATTATTCAAGAGGAGACTATAGATGTATTGTGTTGAGCCATAAGTGGTCATACAGTTTTACATGAACAATAGTCCTGTGCCCTTAAGCTTATTCTGTGTTCAGAAAAAAATTGCTCATCACAAGGAAATTATTTAGGGTTTATTTGTGTATTTAAGGAGAAAAAATAGTCATTTTGGTACAGTGGTTTTCCTGTTAAGCAGATATTTGCTAGATATAATTTTTTTCCCTCCAAATTTATTGTCCAAAATTTTAAATAAGCGGGTTGAAAATTACGAGAATAGTTGAGTAATTTTTTTATTTTTAGATGATTGATCAATTTTTTTTTAAAGTCTTTGTTTTACACAGGTGATCTGTTTTACAAATACACTGTGGTGTACACTTGATGAAATAGGTTCAAATTCATTTTTGAGGTGAAAGTCTCCTCCATTAGGAAGTTTACAGTCAGGTGAAATGTGTATTACCTATCTGGACAAATAATTCTTTTTGTGTGCTTTAGTGTGATGGTGGATTTATGTTTCCAAGACACTCAACCATTTTCATAATTTAGTGAGGCAAAATTTATTGGAAGAGTTCATACCAGGTATAAAGTATTCTGAGAAAAAAGTTGAAGATTTTTTGCTGCTTGGGGATCAATATATACATATATACATGTATATATATCCATAAAAAAGTTTCTCATTGGATATCTTACCGATTAAATTTAACTGGTACTTATTAATCAGTTTGGTATAGGAAAAAGCAGAGTATTGTGATTGAAATACTGTTTGGGAATTCTACGTTATCATTACATACTTTGCTTTCTGTATATTGCTATTTCAACAAATAACAAATATTTTTGGAAAAGAAGGAAATAGTGAGTGGATAAAGATTACTACCGATACTCAGGAATTATAAACACTGCTCAAGATCTGATTTCAGCAGCATAGGAGCAAATTCCTTGATAACTAGGAAGGAATTTTAAAAGTGTTTAATGAATATTTTTGTTTCCTTGCACTTGATTGTATAAATGAGTGAAAATTTCTTGAGGGTATGAAGGTTCAAAATTATTAATATGTCCTATTGAAGAAGAGGTAGAATTTCTAGAGGCCTATTGAATGTTTTAAATAATGAAGAGAGGTAGTACAAAGGAAGACGCGCTTCCTATTCAGAGAAGGTGAGAAGAGGGACATTTTAAAGAAATATATTCTACCATACAAAATTTTAATTTCTAACTTCCTTCTTTGTAGATGCCAAATTGAATCTCTAGAATTTTGAATATTTAAAACTGTAACATATGAGAGTCAAGGGTTTTACAATTTTTGAGAAATAAAAAATTAAATACTCTAAAAATGTGTATATATATATATATATATATATATATATATATATATATATATATATATATATATATATATATATATATATATATATATATATATATATATATACATGTATATATATATATATATATATATATATATATATATATATATATATATATATATATATATATATATATATATATATATATATATATAAAATTATATTGATATGGACTTTTACCATGAAATTGAACTTTTTATAGATTCAATTAATTATAAAATAGTTCATAGAATATATACATGTAATGTATATTAGGTATGTCGGTATGTTTTAATTATACCTGTTCAATCATAAATACATCATATTGGAAAATGTTTTTACCTTTCAAATGTAAATCTGTGGATTGGAATAATTTTGGGGAAATATTATGCTTACAAGTTACCTGTAATATGTTAGTGTTATATAAAATAATATTTAAATGAAACTTGTGAGGAATTTGTTTCATTTAGATAAACATATTATTAAAAAATATCTTTCTAGCTATTTTGAGCTTGATCTAAGTTGAAGTGTAACTTTCTGTGTTTAACATTGTAGATGGTTTCATCCCCACATTTCGGGTGTGAAGGCTGAGGAATTATTGAAGGAGCGGGGGTATGATGGCAGCTTTTTAGCCAGACATAGCACAAGTAGTCCTAGTGACTTCACACTCTCTGTAAGGTAAGAATTCAAAAAGAAGTACGACTATGGTGTAATCTTAAATATATATGTGTATCGTACTAGTCCTAGTGACTTCATGCTCTCTTTAACATGTTTAAGGTAAGACTCTGAAAAGAGAATATTATGTTGTAATTTTCACTGAATTTTCATCATGCTAATACAGCTGTGCATAGTTGTTTAGGCAAAGTATCTTCATTATAAAAGCTAAAATTGTAAGAATTTTCAATATTGTCTGCAAGTGTGCTAATGAATGGAATACATTGAGGATATTCAATGTTTTGGTCATAGGTTGATTTATTTCGTGAGTGGGACAGCATTTTTTTCATATTTTCACGAGTGCAAAGCATGAGTGAAAGTATAAAAAAATCCTTTCTCAAGAGGGAAATAAATTCCATATCCAACTACAAAATATTGAATTTTCTGTTCATTGCATTTTCTTTGATTTTTCTTTTGCCTCTGTTGTCATAGACTATGAAGTCATAGTTGAGTGGTTGAGACTTCATAGCTTAGTGACAGTGAGATTGGAAACATTGATTTCAACAACATATTTGGATAAACTTTGGCAGTTTTATTCTCTGTCAGAATGGTTATTTTTCTAAGACCAGATAAATTAAATTTTAAATTCTCATCCCTGCCAAAGTTGATGAGTTACACTTCCTGTTTGTATTAAAGTTGTGTGGCGCTATTTATAGCACGATCGAGAGCCAAAAGGAGAAAATATGGAGAAGGCAGAAAAGCAAACGTAGTTCACTTATTTAAAGTTTTAATACATCTAGATATCATCAGTAAATTTTTTAAAGAGATTTGGACAAAGTTAAGTATAGCATAACAGACAAAGAAAATTACATATCATAGCGATCAGCAGTGATACAGGTGACTCGAGATGACTCGAACACCAATCTCTCGAAGTTCTTGATCTCTTTAAGCGAACCTCCAGTCCCATTTTTTTTCTCTATATAACTAAGCAAATTTACTCCTTATCTCTCTAACTTCTGATCTCTCGAAGTTCTCTATCTCTCGAACCAAGACCTGGGTCCCATTACACAAATTTTATTGTTTTTTACTCTCTATCTCTAGGAGTTTTGATTGAGCATGTATACACACCAATCAAGTGTAAATTTAATGCAGCTTGGACTTACCTGGATAATAGTGAATGCCTGGGGTTGGCATGGACGTGTTAATTGGGTGTTTACATAGATGACACTACACATATGAGTCGTCTGAATATTGATATAATTAATTGGTTAATTGGTAAATTATAAACAAATCGCTTCACTACTTATTTTGACTTGAGAGTGAGACGATAATTTTGAGAAAATAATTTAGAGAGGTATCAGTAATTTTCCAAATACCGTATAATCCCTATTAACTGCCCCGGGCGCTTATAAAAATGCGAAAAGGGGGCGGTTATATGGGTTTTCTAGTTATAATTTTTTATGTCATATTTTAACTTCAAAAAATCTTTTGAAAAAAAACTAATATATTCAGAGAACCACTAAAAGATTGTCTAACTTTCCTTTAAGTTAAGATAATCCATCAAAATTATGCTATATGACTCATTTTTCCACCGAGAAATTTAAGAATACACAAGGAGAACACAAATTTTGTAGGTAACTTTCACTTTCAGAAATACATAATGATTAGGTCGTTCTAAAAATCTTTCACTTTCAGGAATGCTTTACGTACGAGTTACCCAATAACCAAGTTTCATTTTCACTTTCTTCAAATTATGGTGGACTTTCGATATGATTCTAGATGATTTTAATCACTGTACAGGGGACCCTTATTTCCCGACAATTGAAAAAGACCTAGGGGGGCGCTTAATAGGGATTATAGGGTATTATGAACTTTTATTAGAGTCTGCACAATTCCAGCATGGCAAGCATTGCAATGCACAAGAAATTCTATCTCAATTAAGAATTGAATACTGATTACGAGCAGTCTGGTGAAGTACCCGATCAAACCCTGGGGATAGCCACATTGACAACTGCTATTCAGGTTTCATGTAATCATGAAATGAGAACAAATAAATATTGAAACTTAAAGAAATCATTTTATTTATTCGAAATACAATTATTGCTGTTGAAATCAAGTGAATTACCTGTAAAATACGAATGAAAACATGCAATGACATTATCACTATATACTTCGGGTATGTATAATAGTAGAACAATGATGATCGGAACTGAAGATTCTGGATTTTATTCACTTTCTATCTCTCGAACCCCCCGATCTCTCCAACTTTTCTAATGGTCCCTTGAATCCCAGAGATTGAGAGTCACCTGTATGTAATTTCATATTTTAAAAAAAATTATTGGCAGACTTTAAAGGATAATACAGCTAAAGGAAATTGTTAGTCTTTGAACTGTTCAGTATAGGCAATAGAATGTTTTAGACATCCTGTTTTGCAAAATGACAATTTTGATCGTGTCAAGAACTTTGAGAATGAAGAATTGGATGTACATGTATAAGGACAATGGAATTCTGTAATAATTTCAAATAAAACAAACTAAAATGTGTTTGGAGCAAGACCAATGAGAAGTGGTGACTACATGTACCATGTACAGTAACAGCATGTGCAATTTATTGGGATCTGCATGCCCCCATTTCATAGCAACAGGTGTGTGGCCTGTGCGGTACATATGCACTTGTAAAATTATTAATACTGTGAATATTTTGCATGAGAAGAATCTTTTATAGATACATGTATTTAAAAGAATAAACAATAAAATCTTTACATATTGGCATTAACAATGTGAAAATTGTGTATTAGAAGAATGTTCTGTAGATATTTTCAATAACAAAAAATAAAATATAAATTCTGCCCCCTGCCTCAATTTTTAGGCAAATTATGATAAGAATCTAAAGTTTAAATTTATTGGCCTAACATGCCAGGAAGTATTTTTTACAACACTCTTCTGAAAGGGAAGGAAAATTGAGAGTTTTGTCACACTTCTGATATTTTTTCACACTGTGATAAAATATCATTTTGATTTTTTTTCACACATGCAGTGATAAAGTGTAATTTTTATTCTGTAAATAAATTACAGTATTTTGCTGTTGAAAATGTAATTGTAGTGCTTTTTCCAAACTATTTGTCCAACCGTAAAATGTCTTTGATTTGTATTTTACTAGTCCATAGAAGGCAATGACTATGTGAAATTTTATTGTGATACATGTATTTTGTCTTTCATCTTCGTCACTTCTTTCCATGTTTCTCAGTGTACAACTTAAAGTCTTTATCCTTAAATGTCCTTACTTTTAGCTTCAGAACATCAACAACAAAAAAACCATCTGATATTTGGCATGCATAATCCATAATGATGTTGATGTTCAGATGTAGGTCAAAGGCATACTATGATAAGTTGCAAGTCAAATACCAGTTGTCTTCCTAGGAATTTGCCAATAAGCATTTTGGGTTTAGAGTCAGGCCATTCAAAGTTTTTACAAAAAAACCCCACATTAGAATAATTACAAAATTTCGTATCATCTGAGAATTTCCTTTTCGTAACAAAATTAAAAAATAAGGGGGAAAAAACTGCTAGTGTATAAAAATCCAAATCTTTGGTACAAAACTTGAAAAAAGAATGTAAAGAAATGAGATGCTAATCCCAGTAGCATAAATTGCTTTGCAAATATTTGTAACTGTGGAATTTTTGGTGTTCATTTCCTCAAAACCAATCCATTCACAGATGCTAAACGTAGAAATAACTTAGAATGGCCTCATGTTATAAGAGACGATGTTAACATTAGGATGTTAAATTTGTAAATAATTGTAACATAATGTCCAGCTTTGTGAATTTCTTGTTTAAAGTGTTGGTAAGTGAAACCCCGCATGGAAGGCATTGAACGGTCACGTGTAGGCTTTTTCCTGTAGCATGGAGAACTTTCATTACTTTTGTTTCCCCTTTGGCAGTGTTGTTAATGTCTAGGGGTTTGTGTCAGTCACAAACTAGACTCTGAACAGAAGTACTTAGAAAGAGATAAGATGAATATTCAGAGTCTCCAGTAGATATATGATGGATGCTCAAATTAGGTACTGCACTTTCCTTGTTGATAGACATGCATTTATTGCTAAATTTTATGCTCCTCTAATAAGAACTGTTAAGTTCTACTGGTCAAAGACTAGACAAGTTTTGGGGATGGTAAGGGGTTTATCAAGTTGTCTGTGCATCTGGAAACAATTTTTCAAAATGCTACTCCTCCTATAGTTTTGTTTTACTCAAACAAAACTAGGCATACAAGCAGTCTATACTAAGATACATTTTCCTCTGTCAGTTTTGGAATTTAATAAATGGTGTTGCCATGGTTGCTAAAAATAGACATTTCTGTAAAACTCCTTCAAAATGCTAATCCACCGATAATTTTGGTTTGATTTAAAAAAAAAAAAAAAAAAAAATCTTAAAACAAGTTTGATCCTCTTTACTGCACAAGCTCGGTCCACTTTACCACACAGGGTTGGTCCTCTTTACCATTTAAAGATCTTGAACAGGCATATTTCCCAATATTCAGTTAATAACCTATGATTATAAGTCCAGGAGTAACTTTACTAGTACAAACCAGTAGAGCTACAGTCTCATCAGACATTTCTGTTTTTAGTCAAGCTGCGTTAATTGCATAAGTGTTTATTTTTTGTAAATGCATACATGTACCAGTTAAGTGTCAGGGAAGTCATCCAGTTTAAAACCTGAGATATAAAGGTATGACTTGAAGTAATGCCTATCAGGGTACGTGTAAAGCATAATGCCAAAAACATTTATCCTTTTTCTGCTTGGTAGGAAAATCATACAGTATAAACTAAGTATCTTCAACTTGGTAATTTTTTAGTGTGCAAGATATCAAGGTTGAACTTTTATAGCAAGGTTTATATAGTAATAAGGTCCACCTTGTATTTGATATATAGGTATTTGAGATAACTGTATTTGCCTATAGCAATAAAAAGACAGGCAATTACATCGGGGGATTGTTCTGCAAAAAGGAGACTGTAATTTTCCTTACTTCCTTGTGCAAAAACTCTCATGCAGGCTTGATCAGTTTTTGGAAATATTCCAAATTCTGTCAGATAATTAATACCTAGAGAGACATCTCACCTAGATTTGAACAATATCTGGCCCAATTAAATTTAAATTTTCAAAAATGTGTGAAATTGATTATTTTGAAAGAAGACTAAAATTGAATAACATATTCCCTCTTTAACACTATTGCAACAAGTTTTTCTTCCTATGAGATTTCTGTATACAGGATTATTTTAGTCCCATTTTCTCCCTTATACACAAATTTGCCCCATTCTAAATTCTCCAAGACACTTCTTTTAATTCTTCCTGTTTTAAATTTGCCCACTTGCTGGGATGGCAAAAGGGGCAAGAATAAAATGCAGGCAAAAATTTCCCAGTATATAGTATGTGAATCTGTCAACCATTTTAAACACAAATGCACCTGTATTTACCAATGTGCATATCTGTAAATAATAAAAGGAATTTTTATGTCTACTATCAAAAGATTTCCAGCAACTTTCACTAAACAATTATAGGTATTAAAAATCTGTCCAGAATTTTATCTTTTGAAAGTCCCTGCACTGTCATCATTAAAACATTTTAAGGAAAATGATAGACAGACAGACACCAGCATAATGCTTATGCCAGACATGTAAAGAGGTCACATTTATGTCTGAAAGGTCAACAATCTTGATGATGGGTTTTTTTTGACCATGTACAAGAAGGACAGAATATCATGCTAGACTAAGGTCATATTTCAGTTAGACTGTCTGATAGAGGGGTGAACATGTATGTTGTTTGGGGGCTGGAATAGTGACTATTTTTCTGCTTACTAGTTGTTAGAGCTCTACATAATGGAATTGAAATAACATCATTGTGGTATTTCATATTTCACTATTTAAAAGGTATTATTTATAAAGAGAAAACTATAATATGCACAAGTTGTAGGAATGTTCTAAACATAATTTTTAGCTCTACTGGTCAGAGACCAGAAGAGCTCATGCGATAGTAAGGTGTCCATCTTTTGTCCGTCTGTCTAGCTGTCCATCTGTCTGTGAACAATTTTTTAAAATGCTACTCCGCCTTGGCATACAAGTAGACTACATTAAGTTACATAATTCTTTGCATTGTTTTTTGATTCGATTGCCATGGTTACTGAAAGTAGAAATTTCAAAACGCTATTTATCTGATCAACCTCTCCAAGACTGAGGTTTAGAAATTTGCCCAAAAGGTACTATGGTACTTGTTTGTATAATCTGGATTGTAAAAAGTAATTTTGGAGCAGCTTGCAAAATACATTTCATTTTTTAAAATTCATTTAGGAGGAAATCTGAGGTGACCCACATTAAGATCCAGAACAATGGGGAGTTCTACGATCTGTATGGGGGAGAGAAGTTTGCTACCCTGGCAGAATTGGTGCAGTATTATATGGAAAATCAGGGACAGCTGAAGGAGAGGAATGGGGAGGTCATTGAGCTCAAATATCCCCTCAACTCAGAGGATCCCACCACTGAAAGGTCAGTGGGAATAAGAAATTCAACGTAAAACTTTAATTGTTACTCATTTTTGTATACAGTGTATATATAAAAATGATTTTGAACAAAAACATGGAGTCAGTTTCTAGTGTAGAATGTTTGTCATGTTGTGGACATGTTTATATGGACATCAGGCAGCTTAATTTAAAGGTTTGAGATCATGAACCATACTTATATATATATATAGAGAGAGAGAGTTTTCCCTGTATCTGAAGATAAATGTTAAAATATATTTATTTTAGATGGTTCCATGGTCATATATCTGGGAAAGAGGCAGAAAAGGTGCTGATGGAGAAAGGGAAAAATGGTAGCTATTTAGTGAGGGAGAGTCAGAGCAAGCCAGGAGATTTTGTCTTGTCCGTGCGGACAGACGATAAAGTGACTCATGTTATGATCTGCTTCCATGATAAAGTGAGTACCAGTTCTGTAGCATCACTGTGGCTTCAACTAAATGCTCTCAAAATCTTAACTTAAAATGCATTGACTTTCAATTTCATGGCATAAATCTCACTTAGTCTAATAGAAAGATAAATAAACTGGTCATGAATGGAAAGAATTACTGCAATTTTCAGCTATACACAATTGCATAGTACCCAGTAAACATTATTTACATTATTAGCGATTGCAATTTCTTTTGTAATTTTTCTATAAATTAGACTTTGTTTTTGTATGAAAGGATGAAACTTACGATGTTGGGGGTGGAGAGAAATTCAAAAGCCTCACAGATCTTGTGGAGCATTACAAAAAGAACCCCATGGTGGAAAAACTAGGAACTGTGGTGCATTTAAAAATGGTAAGTGTCAAATAAAGTGGGCTAGCAATTTGGCCAGGTACATGTATATGATTTAACTTAACAGTTTAAAAGTTCAAAGATGCTACCTATTGGGTTAGATGTCTATACACAGGACAAAGCTTTGCAAAAATCAGGAATTTTACATTTGTGCATCAACACTGTCACTCTGCATGAGTATTCATTTATTGGCTTATAAATTATGATATCAAATGGAAATGCACAATACACATTCTCATATGATGCACTAAAATTAAGTGATAATTCCATTGCTTGATTTAGAATAGTTGTTAGATAGTCTGTTGCAGTTGTTTATTTGACTGACAGGGATCGACATTAACGGTTGTCCGATTGCCTGGGACAAGTAAATTCTCAGTTCGGGCAAGTGAAACTGTAAACTTACTTGTCCGATCGGGCAAGTGAATTTTTCTGATAGAAATGTATATTGGTATCTATTTTACATTAATTATAAATAAAACAATAGATTGAACACTAGATTTCCGCCAGATACGTGACTGACATTGCTCCCTTGGGTTTCTAGATTATATCGTTCATTAAAAATGGGATTCGTTATTCTTTTTTATTTCATGTTAAATATGCTCTACGTATTACAACTTTGTTAACTACTTAATTCATTCACACTGACAGAATATAACATGACCTATCCTGATCAAGATATGTATGTTTCATAGCAACTATCTTCCTTTAGCATTGCATCAATCAAAATTCACAAAACAAAACGATCCTGCCCAAAATGATTTTTTATTTAAAAGGAAACAGATGGTTATTGATGCATTGCAGTGTGTGTTTACAGATTAAATTGACAAGGAAAGTGGTAGTATACATTTATGTCCAAACGTACCATCTAAATTTTTTCAGGTACCTCAACTTGCCAGATTTATAGTTACAGTAGTGTATCTATTCACACTTTTTCTTATCGTAATATTTACGGCAATAAATTATTTTCCTATTTGGGCAACCAAGTTTTGCATTCGGACAAGTAAAAATTTGAGATCACTTGCCCAAAGAGCAAGTGAATCTGAAAATTAACGTCTATCCCTGACTGAATTGATGACTTGTGCTTTATATCAGGAAACACATGTTAGGTAAGGCCTGAAATAAAATATTGTTTGTTTGCAGTTGCCTACCTACCAACTTAAAATGCACCTGACACCCCCCCCCCCCCAATCAGCTTTTTATCAAAATGATTTTTTTGGGGGGGTTATGTTTTTAAGTTTTCCAAATTCTTAAACACTGTAGATTTGTAATTAAGAGTGTTACTTTTTCCTGTCAATTTAGGCTCTTGAATTAAGCGCAGCATTCAGGTGCATATACTTTTAAGTAGGTACCCCATAGAAATTTCTGTGTATATTTTGTTTAATAAATGCCAAACTATATTTTTTTTCAAAAGCAAAAAATTACAATCTAACCTAAATACTCTTGAAATTGTGGATCAGTAACTGCAAACAAAGATTTTTTTAAGCTTGGCCTGAGCTAGTCTTCCAGGTTTTATGAACACAGAGGTCTGTTTCAGTCAATACGTTTGGGATAATTAATGCAATAGCTAATTGGGCTTAAAACCTCAAATGTTTCCTATAATGGGGAAAACCTTTTATCAAGTTTATATTCTGAAATTCTTGGCCCATGTGTGTGAAACTTCTGGTTTATATGATAAAACTTTTGTCAACATGCTATAAAAGCAAGATCATACTTAAGTTTTAAATCGTAGAGACTCTTTTCCGTTCGGATTTTGTAAACACAAGTGTGAAGTGAATCATTTAGTGATGGTTTTCCTGCTCTCAAGTGTTTATATAATGAATGTTGAGTATACATATCTAGATTAAGTAAATCAGGATAGTTTCATATAAATACATATATATACATGCTTGGTGAAATAACTTTGCCGTGTGCTAGTTGGTCATTTCCTATTTTTGAGGTCAATGATTAATTTTGTTGTCTGTGATCATCTGTTTGTGATTCATTCCGACATTAGAAAATGTGGCTTACCAAAATAAGAAAATGCTACTGTATTAATCAGCATCCTTGAAAGCTTGTCTCTATATATAATACCCAACTATTTTTAAATAGTATACATAGGATTTATATAGCATATAAGTGTACTATGCAGAAATAATGCACAACTTGCTTTTCTCCAGGAAGATTTTGTTAAGACCCACACGATCCTTTGGACACTGATCAGACATGTTGTCAATTCTGTCACACCAGCCATTAAGGGATACATAATTTTTAAATTACATAGTCATGAGTTCATGAATAAACATACAATTCCGAAGGCATGATATTATTGACAAAAATCTTCAAGTAAATTCTTTATCAAATTTTCAAATCAATCAATTCCACATCGTTAGTCATTGATCAAAGGATATATTTGTAAACAATGAAACCCTGTTGAATAAATGTGAAATCAAATATAAAATAGTGCATGGCTTGCTTTTTTTTTTTTGAGAAAATTTGTAAGCGCTCACTCTGGGGACCAAACACATGACCCTTTGGAGGGCAGACACCCTACCAATTAGGCCAATGCAGCCATTAAGTAATACACAGTGTAACCAGATCATTTTCTTTTTATGAAGTTGTTGTATTTAGTGTACAACCATCAGCAGATCTAGAGTAATGACAATAGCATTGTGTTTTGCCATACTATGCTGAATTTGATACTTGGTGCATGAGCTTTGAATGCTCATCCAGTATGTCTTATATGACCAATATTTCAGGACTATAGGCATGAATCGTTATTGTATGATGTCACTCATTTTAGTCATAGTCTGTCATTTCAAATCAGTTGTAGTAAAAACTAGTTCTCCCTTTATCAAGGGAATACATTAGACTTAAAGAGAAGATCATTTTATTGTACAGAACTCTGACTGGCTGCGTACTAAACCAAGTGGACATTGTTGCATAGTTTAACCTTACTTTTGCTCATTCATCAAGAATCTCTTTTCTTTTCTTTTTTTTATCTCAGCCTTTCAATGCCACAAGAATATCTGCATCAGGATTAGAAAACCGAGTCAGGCAGTTAGAGAAGGAAAAGGACAGTACAAACAACAAAAGTAAAGGGGGTTTCTGGGATGAGTTTGAGGTAGGTAAAGCTGAAATTCTGATAAATGTGCACTTCTAAATTTAAAAATAACCATGTGTTATGTTGTTCATGGTTATTTAAAGGTTGCAGACTCTATTTATGTCAGCTTTGTTACATAACTTTACACTCTGAGTCATGCTGTTTGCATATCAAAATTCATTTAATTTCCTCCACTTTGTTTCAAAGTAAAATGACACAAAATCACGAAAGCAGTTATAGAATAATGATTATATTGTCACCTCTAAGGAAAGGCTTTAGTTGAAAATGAAGTAAGAAATAATGTACTAAACAGAAGAGCTATAAGGTGTTCCTGAAACTAAAGCTGAACTGTTGCAGGATAGAATAAGAAAGACGCAATCCAGATATGGTCATTTATTCATTCCAGGCACTACACATGTATTTTAAGATCTTTATTTGACAATTATAATTTAGGCCTGTTGACTTGCTGTGTTCATACATCCTTGTTTTTCTAATGAGCTGTACAAATTAAACAAATATAATTCTTGAAAAATGGAGGGTTTACACATTTTATATTCAATATTTGCATGTATTTTTGAAAATACTTTTGATGCAGGAAGATTTTATAAAAGCCATTGAAGATAATATTGAGATGCAAAGGAATTATCAATAAATGAGTCCTTAATATTTATCCATTCATTATCCATATGTTTCCTTGTCAAACTCTAAAATGTTGGGTGTGGTTTGATCTTTCAGCAATTACAACAGATGGAAGTGCGTCACTTGTACAGCAGAAAGGAGGGACAGAGGATAGAAAACAAACCTAGAAACAGATATAAAAATATCTTGCCATGTAAGGCTGCCTTTGTCAAGTTGAGGTCAAAACCATACAGACAGATTTGTAATTTTGATGAAGTTTGGGTTAAGGCTAAAAATATATTGTCAATAAAAGTTATTGTTATTAGCTTACCTAGACAAAGATGGGATGGTGGGGGGGGGGGGGGGGGGGAGGCTAAAATGAAAGAATATTCTTGCGTATTTTGCTTGTACTTGTGTGTTAGAGGAACTTGTACTACACAGTTTTAAATGGGAGCAAAAAAAATTTACTACTGATGCAGCATTCTTATAGTAGAATAAAGTTACACAACATGGATTGTTCTCTTTTTCAGTTGATCATACAAGGGTTGTTTTAAAGGATGGTGACCCAAATGTCATAGGATCTGATTACATTAATGCCAACTTCATCACAGTAAGCTTAAAGCTATATAAAAAATGTTGAAGATAAGAACCTTGTACAATTCATTAGTTTTTCTGTTTTGTTCTGCTAATCTCTAAATTTAATTAAACAGAAATACACATTAAAACTTTGGAGAGAAAAAAATACCATGAGCATAAGATTATGAAACTTGTATTGGTACATGTTTTCAGAAGATCTAGCTAATCTTATTGTAATGTTTATTAGATGGATGAAGACTCAGCAGACCCCAATAAGAAGAGTTTTATAGCTACACAGGGTTGTCTCCCTGGAACAGTGACAGATTTCTGGAGAATGATCTGGCAAGAGAACACAAGGGTCATCGTCATGACAACAAAAGAGGTTGAAAGGGGAAAGGTAAAACCAATATTTCTCTCTGTTTGATAACCATTTGTTGTAATTCATATCATTCATAAAAAAAATTGGGGGGATATCATAGGATCTGAATTATTCATTTGATAATAATGTTTTTATTTTTAGGTTCTCGGTAAAGATTTATTTTCGTTTATGTTTATACATGTATTCCCCTGGTTCTTTTGTCCAAGGGAATCCAGTAATTGAATAATTGACCCTCCTGTCCATGTGTTTGTCTCAGTACTGTAAGATCACCATTCTTTATGGGGGTAATTTTCATCGTTTTCAAGGTATGAAGAGACCCACAAATTCATGTCCACCGCGAAGTGTAAAATGTCATATACATAGCTACTCAACAAATTTTCATCCATGAAAGTAAATCTTCAAGAACCAATATTTTTCCCTCAAACCACAAATATTTGACCTCTGGAAAATATGTGATTTTACAGTATTTGTCCACTTAGGCTATATTTTCTAAAATCTGAGGAAGTGAAGACCTCAGTGTTCTTAATTGGGATTCAGCAATATCTGCAGTACAGAAAGTATACTTTGCTAGAGATACAACATAACTGTTTATATGTTCATTGTAATTTAGATTATATTATTGCCCTCAAGGGCCCCAAATTGCTTTCAATAAATAATATAGTAAATGTATATAAAAAATTTGAAAATTTGTCACAGACAAGCGGTTTATAGCTTCCATCTCTTTTGACTTTATGTGTTTTACCTGAGGTTGTCAAAGTTCTGTAATAATGTATTTATTCTTTGTAACTATGTAGATAACTATTGAAATATTTTTTCTTATAATGAAAAATTTACATTTTTTACAGGTAAAAGCTGTGAGATACTGGCCTTCACCTGATGACCCAGATGATATTCTTGAAAGAATGTTTGAGTCTCATGATTCAAAGATTTATGTCAAATTCATTTCCCAGAAGAATGAGACAGATTACATCATAAGGGAACTGGAAGTCTGGAAAATAAATAATGCAGATGGCAAGGTAAGGGGACAAATGATGTTCTACAAAGGGAAGTAAGCAGTTAAAATCGGAAAACTCGCTCACCATGTTTGAAAAGCAGGAACAGGATAGTTTGCAAAATTTAAAAAAATCATTTAAAAAATCTATTTTACATTGTGAAAGACTATTATTGTTATTTACACTTTTGTTTATGAAACATGCATAGTACTTTGTAAAATTTTCTAGGTGTAAAACAAGCTTGTTGAATCAGCTCATACAATGAATATTTACACAGAGGGAGAGAGAGGGACATATAAAATTAAAAATAAAGTGTTTGTGTTGAATGACATCATAAACTATTACAGAAGGAAGATGTCAGACGTGTTTACCAGTTCCATTTCTTGACTTGGCCTGATTATGGTGTACCCTCTGATCCTGGCTGTGTCCTTAATTTCCTAAATGTGGTCAATGCCCAGCAAGAGAAGATCAAGGATGCTGGTCCTATTGTGGTTCACTGCAGGTATGTCCTTGAGAATAAAATCATACTGTGCATATACCAGCTGACTGGACAAAGGGAAAGCTATTTTATTGAGAAGAGTTGTACCTTCCTAGTTATTCAGTTTTTAAATTGTTTTGTAGTAGAATCTATTAAAACAATTTTTTAAGATGTTTAAAATTTGCATATGAATAAAAGAACATACATAATGTCTTTTGTAAAGTTCATTAAGCTTTGTATTTGCTATCTAAATGTTTATTTGGTTTGTAGTGCTGGCATCGGTCGTACAGGGACGTTCATAGTTATTGACATAATACTCAACCAGATCAAGATGTATGGTACGTTTTTTTGACATAATACTCCACCAGTTCAAGATGTGTGGTATGTTTTTGATATAATACTCAACCAGATCAAGATGTATGGTATTTTTTTGACATAATACTCAACTAGATCAATACCTTTGGTATGTTATTGACATAATACTCAACCAGATCATGTTGTATGGTATTTTATTGACATAATACTCAACTAGACCAAGATGGATTGTATATTATAACGGGGACCTATAATTATAAAACACCCTGTGTTTTCAATTTCAAAAAAAGTGTTTGGAAGTTCACTACTGTTTGAATCAAAATAGAAATAATGAAATAACTTTTTTTGGAGTAACAGAAAAAAAATATTGAATCAAGTTTTCAAGCTATAGAATAATCATAACAAGTGTTTTGCCTGTCAGTACAATGTATTTGACTGTTTTAGGCCTGGAGTGTGAAATTGATATCCAGAAGACGATACAGATGGTTAGATCTCAGAGGTCAGGTATGGTGCAGACAGAGGCCCAGTACAAGTTTGTCTATATGGCAGTACTTCACTACCTAGAAACAGAGCAGCAGCGTAAACGTGCAGAGGAGGTATACACTGGTCTTTTGTGGAAAATTTTTTAATCTTTCTTATTTCTTTACTTTAAATGGATTAGAGGAGATTTGTAGATACATTTGTCGTTAATTAGCCAAGATACACATCCATGTACATACAGAATTGTGTTAATTTTAGTAGGAAATAGTTCAACAGTAGATTTCATAAGTGCAAGGAATTTGTACAGAAAGTTGTATGCATAGTCTTTTATTTTCACCATTAATAAAGTTTTATTTATATGACATAAATTTACTCCTGATTTTTTTTATTTATAAGTATTCTTTAAGAATAGAACTATACCTCTGACATTATATACTGTAGCAATCTGTGGGAAGAGAGTACACCAACATACGTTACACCGCTAACCTAGAGTCAGCCAACAAGTCTCTGTCTGCTAGTACTAAGGGTGCAGTGCCACAGCTACAACAGTCCACAAAGAGGAAGGAGAAAGATCTACCTAAGTAAGCATACACCTAGAGGTGAAAAGGATAAAACAAATTCCTAGAGGTTTAAAAGATGTAATCAAAACTTCAAGATTACACCTTTGAGACTGTGTAGTGTAAATTTTACATGCAGCTAGAGCAGAGTAAAAAGGGGAATTAAGACTTGTCACCGCATTTGCAAGCCTTAATAGTTTTATATCATTGTAGATTTTGCCTTTCATTTCTAGCCATTGAAAGTATTTAAATAAATTGATGTGTCAAGTGTACTTTTGTATTAATACATGTATATACAGTTAATTTATAATTTAAAAATTCTGACAAAAGTATGCCCATTAACTGACATATTCTTTCTATTATTTTTTTTGTCCAGACTACCACCAGCAGAGGACAGTAGACAGATATATCAGAACATAGGATCTGTTGGCTCCAAATAAAAGTAGACTGCAATGTGAAAACAGAGAGTACTTCAGTCACCATACATCATGCATCATTGACCAGGGAAATAAAAAAAAAACCAAGATGGTGTACACTACAGAAGATGACAATATCTACAATTGTGTATTTTCTTGACATTGTGTAAATGCAGAAAATATGCTTCTTCTGATGGGTCTCAGCTGGCAAATATGCCTTTATAAAGTAGAGGATTGGTATACATGTATAAATGTGCAACTGAATCCAGAAATGATCATTGTCTGTCTGAAAAAGTGCATCATAGCTGATTCTTGTTACTTGACAAAGTTAAGTAATGGTTCATCCTTTCAAAAGATTTACTTATAGTTTGTTGGGATAAATTATGTATAATTTAGGTATAAAATAGGAACTCAAGTTAATTTTCCTGTTTTTATATTTTACTCTATAAATAGCTGAATATTTGGCATGATTTGTATGAGTAAACTTTCCCCCTGAAAGGTAGTGTTTATATTTTCCAAAACAGAATTAAAACTAATATATGACAGACACAAGAAAAAAAAACTTGAATTTTTTGGCTTTACAAATGTATGATTAAATAAATAACAGGCTGTTTTGACTGTAATTAACTTAAAGATTAAGACAAAGATGTTGGAGAGTCATGAATAAGGTCTCTTTGTTACGTTTTGTATGTGTTCTATGACTGATGTTATGAAATTCCTTTGTCAAAATCGAGTTATGTATTGTGTGTTATTTATATATTGTTATAAATATACTTGTTCATCATGTGCTATAAGGAGGAGATGCTGTTATGTTTAATTTTGAACAATGTTTTAAACTCCATTTCTCTTTGTTTAAACCCTACCACAGTTTTTCGTTCAAGGGAGAGGAGATGCTCACAAAATTTCATGAAATTGCTTTTGCTTTTAGAATGAAAATGAATAATTATTTCATACAAATTAGAAATTGTTCAGTTTATACATGTAGCTCACTTTATCTGAGGAATTCATTTAGTATGCAAAATATTTTTCTTACTCATTAACAGTCTCGGCTTATCATAAATTATTGTTACTTATACAGTGTCAATCTTTTTTTTGATTTTGAAATGTAATAAATTATTAATGCATACATCGTCTGTCATGTAATTTTGTCCTAAATTTTGTGGTATTCGTATATTTTTTTAAGTTTGCTGATCAAACACTATTGTCATCATCGTCTTCGTTTGTTTAATGTAGCTATAAAAGAAGATAGATACAGCTGGTATGGGTTTAAAAGTATTTTTGCTTGGTTAGCTTGTTTGAAATGAAAAATAGATATAGATGTTATTGTTTAAGAAGCTTCAATTCAAAAATTGTATGCTTATTTATAATGAAGTTTAGTGCTGTTTCATCTGTACATGGTGGATTTTTTCCCTCAACACAGCAAATGATATGCTGCTGATTCAAATCAAATTAGCTGTTTTTTGTTATCTTTATAGATTAAAGTCGTGAAAATTCAATCTAGTGTAAAATCAGCTTTACACAGCATATAAAAAAAAGAGTGTTTTACTCCAACATGGCATCATATTTGCATAATTATATAATCAATGTTTTAAAATTCTTCATGTAAAGAACTTCTTCTTTATGCATTGTTTTCTTTCAACAATAGCAAGAAAGAATAAAAAAAATAGAATTGATTTTCTGAATCAATTTTTATATGTATTATGAATTATGAAAAAAGGTTTTTAAACATGCCTATATTTTGAAATTCAGGTTATTTACCATGTAAAATAATTTCGCTATTTTGTATAGATTTATGATAAAAATGGCAGACATACAGTTGAGTATTTTACGGTATATACTGGTATTGAGTTGGTATATTTGTCCTATTGCTATCAAAATTTTCATATTGCACTAATGAGCAAAGTTAATTTTCTGTGCTTATTGAATCTGAAAAATAAATACAAATAATCAAAAAAAAAATTGAAATTTGAAAATAACTTGTATACAGAAGTATAAAAGCTCTGTTGAATTGTTTCCCTTTCGTATTCAAACTGTAGTGTTCTTAGTTTGACTATGGTCTGAAATGGTGCCTACATGCATATGTATATCAAAAATATTCTCATGGCTGCAAAAAATGGTATTGTGATTAATATTCAGTGTTTTATTGTCATCATCTGTCACTTGATGAAATCAGTAATAAATGTTACAATAAATTAATCTGAATTTTTTCTTCACTCTTTTTTTTTTCTTTGCGTATATGACTTTGATTCTTTGATGTTTTAGGCTTGCTGTTTATTTTGATTATGGTGCTGGTCACCTTAATTTGCTCCACTGAGTAACAAAACTGAGTAAAGGATTGTCCTCAGGATAACTACAGATAAAATTATGTATTGTAATTTAATGTCCCTCTCGAGAATTTTTCACTCATATGGAGAAGCCACCACTTGCTTGTGGAGGGCCGCAAATTTAGATCTATACTCGGCACTTAGGGCCATTGAACAGCGAGGGATCTTAATTTTTCGTGCAAGCACCTACCGCGACACGGGATCTGGTTTATAAAGTGTAATCCGAAGGACTGGTCTCCACGTCCCACAGTGGGATTCAAACCCACGATGTAAGGATCAACTCCTTGCACTGTGACTCTAGAGCAGACACTTTAACCACTACGCCACGTGGGCGAAACGCAGGAATGCTGGACAGCCTTAACATGTTTATGATGTGCAGCCATGAGGTGTCATGATACATGTTACAAAAACAGAAAACGGTCTGAAAGAAGAGAAAGTGTGAAGCTATGCCTGAGTTTTATTCAAAGTCATTTTTATATACATTCCAGCTTTTAATATAGCAATGTGCTATATCGCCAAATCGTACTAATATTGTGTTTTAGGACAGAAATAAAGAGCTCATTTACACGATGAGATTTTTAGCTCTTCTGAGCCAAAGGCTCAAAGAGCTAATGCTATGGCCATTTGTGCGGTGTGCGGTGTGCGTAAACTTTTTAGAATATGGGCCATAACTCAAGAACCCCTTGGCCAATTATTGTCAAATTTGTCACAGGGTATCCTTGGCCCAAGGGCTCCCTTTTATACTAAAACTGGGGTTGTGACCAGGGTTCTCATTAACGCAAGAATCTGTGTCCTAGACGCAGCAAAATTATTTGGGACGCAAGGTTCTTAAAAACGATGCGTCCGCGGACTCATGAGTGGACGTGTCCTCGTTAGCGAGAAAATTCGGGTGCTTTCGAAAACGGGAGATTTTAGATGTTAGGATTTGTCAAAGAAATATTTAATAGAAACCTTCATGTAAATATAAAGTTTATCCAAGAAACTTGTACCTATTTCTATTATTTCATGTTTATTAGTCCATAGTCATGATAGTGTCCCATGTCAAACTCCGATAGCTGTAAACACACTGCAGCTTTTTTAAAACACTTTTGAATCTTGAGTTTTATCTAGAAACCATAATTACTGCTTGTATACACAATGCAGCTTGATTATCTCGTGAATTTCACCCAGTACAGTCGACTGACAGGATTAGTTACGCCTCATTGCACATGACACCTGTGATTGTATACAGTCAACTTTAGGGTACTTAATTGATTATGCAACAGTTTATTTTAGCTTCATAAACACCAAGTTAATTTTTATGGAAATTAATTACGTGTGTATTTTAGAATATGGCTTGGATGCATTACTAGTTTATATATATTTGAATATTTGAATGTTGCATAAAATAAACTGTTAAAAGTAATAAAGATTTTTATTGATGTTTGGATAGAAGGATACTGCAATAATTCAGTTGGGACTCAACATAATTTTTCTGGGACGCATCATATTTAGCTGGGACTCAACCTTCTCAGAAGTCTTGAGTCCTGGGACTCATGTAAGCAAAATCCTAGTGAGAACCCTGGGTTGTGACCCTTTAACAAGGGGAGATAATTAGGAAAATAGAAAAAAAAAGTACTGGTTGCTAAAAAATCTTCTTCTCAAGAACCACTGGGCAGATTATCACCAAACTTACACAAAAGGATGAGGATATGTTGTAGATTAAAATTTGCACGGGGATTTACCCTGGGGCAAAGGGCGTGGTCTCAAGGTCACTTCAAAGTTGACCAAAAATTACATTTTATTAAAATGTTGATATTTTGCTTACTATAAGGACTAGGATCATCAAATCTTGTCAGTTGGTGCATCTAAGGACCTCATATCATGTTGACTCAAAAGTAGGTCACGGTGACCTACTTTTTAAATTTTGTGGCCATTCTTTTTCAAAATGATTTAGAGGCATATTTTGAACAATTTAAGGCCTATGATCATCAAACTTTGTCAGTTGATGCATCTTGGGTCCTCAAAGTACGTCAACTAAAAAGTAGGTCACCTTGACCTACTTTTTGAATTTTATGGCTAATCTTTTTTAAAACACTTAAGGTCATTAATTTGAATACGGGGAGGCTTAGAATCATTAAATCTTGTAAGATGATGCATCTTGGGGCCATAAAACATATTTATTAAAAAGTAGGTCACAGTGACCTACTTTTTGAACTTTGCAGGCATTCGATTTCAAAGTGTTTTAGAGGCATAATTTGGACATTTTAAGTCCTATGATCATAAAACTTTGTAAGTTGATGCATCTTGGGTCCTCAAAAAAGGTCAACTGAAAAGTAGGTCACCGTGACCTACTTTTCAATTTATATGACTATAATTAAATATTTCAGGTACTAATTTGCTTAGAATCATCAAACTTTGTCAGTTGATGCATCTTGGGTCTTCGGAGTAGGTCGACTAAAAAGTAGGTCACCGTGACCTACTTTTGAAAATTTATGGCTTTAATTAGATATTTCGGATACTAATTGGCTTAGAATCATCAAACTTTGTCAGTTGATGCGTCATGGGTCTTCGGAGTAGGTCGACTAAAAAGTAGGTCACCGTGACCTACTTTTGGAAAATTTATGGCTTTAATAAAATATTTCGGGTACTAATTGGCTTAGAATCATAAAACTTTGTCAGTTTATGCGTCATGGGTCCTCAGAGTACAACAACTGAAAAGTAGGTCACTTTGACCTACTTATAAAATTTTATGATTATAATTTTAAAAAACATTTTAGGTATTAATTGGCTTAGAATCATCAAACTTAGTTGATGGGTCCTCAGAGAATGACAAGTGATAAGTAGGTCACCATGACCAACTCTCAGGTACTAATTGGCATAGAATCATCTTGGGTTCTCAGAGTGTGAATTGGAATTTCAAGGGTTTATGTAAATATACAGGATACTTCGAAGCTTCAAATAGAAGTGATAGGTTGTACAGTTTATCAGAAGAGCGATTCAAGGCGCATGGGCCTCTTGTTTGGAAAAGGTTTTTTTTAAAGGTAACTGGGTCCGCTCCATTTCTTACAAAGGTTTGCTCGTTTCGTTGAACTAAAATGCACACAAATAACTTTTTAAAATCGTGGAGAGACGACCCAGAGAAATCCTCACAACGACAGGGGTCCCGAGTCAACACGTTGCCGTTGGACCCCAGACAAACTTCATTCGATATCTTCGAGCTTGCCTCTCTCATTGAAAAAAAAGGAATCAGTTGACACCTAGAATACCTAGAATGCACGTCTTATGCATTGCGTCGGCATTGTTTATCACCGAAAGGCTTTATGTTCAAGATCTGTAATTTTCCCGAAAGACGTCGCTGCATTCAGCCCGCAAGTTTGTCAGGGGCACAAAGGCAACGTGTTGACTCAGCTACGGCCCCTGACATTGTGAGGAAGACCCAGTAATGGCAAATTTATAGAAGAACGTGTTTTAAAATGTTTCATTTTGTGCAAAATCTTGCCATATTTCATGGCATATTTTAGAAAATCAAAACAAAATACCTGGAAATTACTTCTTTTCCCTATATCAAAAAAACCTGTTACATCAATAGAATGCGAAAATATCATATTAAATATCGGACATTTCAAGTGCGCTAAGTACCTGCCGAATCAAAACCAAATGCGCCCTCGTTCTTTGCAAGAAAAAAGATTTTTCTTACTGTAGATTAAGAATTGTTAATTAGAATAATTCTTAAATGGCTTTAACAAGGGCTGTTCGGAAAGTTCATAGTTTGGTAGACGCGTTTTAACAATAAAATCGAATGGTTTAAATTTAAAATATCAAATAATATATTTCAAACTCATACAAAATTTAAAACTGCGAAAACATGATTACGGAGCAGGTCAAAATTTAGTAATTTACAAACTATGACAATGTCTGTAGTTAAAATGTTCCAAAATGAAAAAAAAAAAAAAAAAAAAAAAAACAATCTAGACGTTCATAGCACTTGTGTTTAAATGGCGCAAAAGGTTTTTGAGTGATAGAGAGTCTGTATTAGACGATAACTTTCTGTAATGAAACAGATTATCGGTAAAAAAAAAATCTAATCAAAAGAATTAATAACGTCATGGAAAGAGAAATGGACACTTCATTGTTGCAGATCTGATAAAAGCAGAATAATGAAAATACTAAAAAACGAACTTATGCTACTGTTCAAAAGCATTGTTTATATCAAGCTCAATGCAAAGTGGTAAAGAATGGCGCCAGAATAGGAAGAGTATTTTTGAGAAACTCATTACTTAGGTTTTTGACGTACACTAACAGTGCTGTTCAAATCATGATAGTTTTCGAATTAAATAAAATAAGATCTTTAATCATTTCAAGTGAAACTTCACATATCAACAAAATGAATATTTTTATATATATATAACATGGATAACGTGCTGGTTTTATACCTCATATAACAGACCGTCACTGTCCACGAACTTTCCGATCAAATATGTCACAGGCACTTGTTCCGGTAATAAATCTTTTAACATTATTATACTATGGATAAAAAAAATTATTACCGAAACAAGTCCCTGTGTCGTATGTCCCTTATTTTAATCCCATTTAAACTTTTTTTTTGGAAAGTATTATTAAGGAATCACTGTCTAGTTAGTAGAGTATGCCAGGGCATCAACGATAGTTGGAAACGTGGGATAATTTGCATAACGGGCAAAGCCCGTTATGCATAAATTATCCCACGTTTCCAACTATCGTTGATGTCCCTGGCATACTCTACTAACTAGACAGTGATTCCTTATATTTCCATTTCATTTTGAAATAAAATTGTAAATTTAGATTTTAAAAATGTAGACTAATAGATTTAAATTACACGAGGCCTCACACGTCAATTTCAATAGTCCCCGCCCACTGACGTCACACACAAAGACAGCCGCACGAGATTTACATGCATACAAGTAATAGCTTTTCAGAAAGCTTGCCTGACTAATCAATCAATATCTCTGGAACGTATATGCAAGAGAGGTGCTAAACGTTTCGTCATCAAGGAGCGACATAGTTGCGATACTTCATTGTACAAGATGTACAGTTGACTTTCTCAAATTTCATAACCAAATAGTACAGATTAACGAATATCTAAGACATGCCACTATTTGGTCATTTATTAGTTAGCCCACGGGCTGACTAGTTACGTTGGGATGAAACTGCAAGTGCGCTAGCGTAGATTATAATCAAAGGCGGATCCAGCACAGGCGCGCCGGGCGTGCGCCCCCCCCCCCCCCCCGTTTAAATTTTTTGTATGTAGAACTTATATATGTTCATTATCCTAAAATCAAGGGAAAAAACACCTCTTATTTGTAAGAATTCGTCAGCTTCCGGGGGCTTTGCCCCCGAAGCCCCATCAGGGCTTTGCTCTGGACCCACTGGGATTTTAATACAGCCCCCAAACCCCCCTGCCTTCTACTGCGCCCCCCCCCCCCCATTATGAAATTCCTGGATCCGCCAGTTGATAATTCTGGGAAAATAGTTAGATGATTCGTTTTAAAGAAATTCATATTACATGTACTCTCTTACTAGAGGGCGCACTTCTTCATGGTCAGTGATTCATTGATGAGACGGCCTCTATTTATAGACTGGTCTGTTTTCCGTCGTCCTGGACAACGAAGAAAATTATGAACAGTTTTAACTGGGAAAGGTGTCTTGAAGTGTTTGAGACAAAAATGAAAAATGCTTCAATGCTACTCTAGAAATCAAAGTAAATAACCTGTACACTTTATAGCTAGCGCAAAACAAGATACTAATAACACCCCCTCCCCCCCCCCCTTCCCCCGACAAAACTCACGCGATGATGGTCTTACCATATACAAGTACATGTATTATAAATGAGCTTAAAATACATCTTTATATACAGTTTTGAAATTGTTAGTTTTTCTTTTCAATCGATTTCAGGACCTTTCTCATAATTAAAATAACGTGCTTTTTTATGAAATGAAAACCAGTACAGATCATGATGTCTTCTTCATTTTGCCGATTCTTTACTTAGAACCTTACGGGAGTGAAGCCCATTCCTCTACGGGTACTGACCTACACTCTTGTCACTGTATTAAAAGGAAATCTTTGTTCATCACAAAGCATGAAATAATATGCTACTCGCTGACTTTCTAGGCTTTTTTAAAAAACCTTACCTTGTAACGTACATTATTAATAAATGTAATTTGAAAGAAAGGCTAGGTGGAAAACAGAATCAAGAAGGGATGTCCCATTTACTGGGTGGAGGGAGTTTGTTTATGATTAGACTAGTCCACTTATGGAATAAATAGTAAGAATAATCAGCAAATCCATTGCTTTGGTGTTGCCTGTCCATATACAATGTGTTCTCTTAAAAAAATGAGATAAAATTTACTGTTAATAAAAATTCTGGAGCTTAAGAATCATGTTAAAAGAATAAACTTTATTTATTTCCATAGAAGTTATCACACCCATTCAATAGAACAACCCAAGAAAAAGGCGCGAAGATAATTTACATGTGACACTTGGCGCGAAATGATTGTGTCACCCCTTTCGTAGAAGGCAAATGGACTGACCCATTAGTTTCGAAACGCAGAAAAAATGTTACACGGACATGTTCGTACAAAGAGTCGCAAAGAATAAACATGTGCATGCAAAAAATTTGAAGGAATTAAACACATCATTATTTTGCATCAGTTATATGATTCTTTCTTCTGCAAATTGTATTTGTTTAAATGCAGGTAACAAATTCCGATGTAAATCAGCTTGCACAAAATCTAGTTCATTAAGAATGATCGCTTAGTTTCGGATCCCTGAAATATTAATCTTTATACTGCCTGACGCACGTGGCGTCAGGCAATTAGGCCTTCTTAGCTCCTGACCTTTCGCTTGGCGAAATTTGCATTCCGTTAGAATGATCAAGAAATCAACTCTCCTAACTTTCAAAGAGTTATCACAGAGAAAACAAATAGAAATGGAAATATTTGCGTATCATAGTAGAAACATTAAAACTACTGAACAGTATACAGATACTTGTTACTTATAAATGAGAGGAAGTTCAGTTTCTTTTACTTATTTTACTTAATAATCCTCCATTAGGATGTCTATTTTCTGTGAGAATTCTCACAATTGAGTAAAATTTAAGAATTCGGTATCGTGTACACTATCTTAGATTATTGTGATTTCTTAATGACTGAATGTCATAATGAAACACAAAACGTTATGTCCACAAGAATAACAATGCTTTTAATCATAAAAGCCACAGTTCAAGATGATGAACAGTGGTACATATGGCAATGGCACACATTGTAAGCAGTGATAACTTTTTTATATTGATTGGCACAAACGGGATATGTACAGTCACATCATGCACACATGAGTTAGAATACTATGAAGGCTCCTTTTGTTGTGTAGAGAAGTTGAAAGCTCTTTGGTACTATACAGGTACAAGCAATACCTCTAATAGACTGAAAATAGAAAATTTTGATTTATTAACCCAGGAGTTTTTATTGCTTATGTTTGAAGACTATACTGCTATTTCATTGTATACTTGATTAAAATGTCTTCTATTATATGAATTTCAGGAAAATAATCTACATACCAGATTTCGGTTGGGAGATCTTTGGCATACCATTCATCTGATTTGACATCATTCCTATGTTACCTATGTTCATTCTGTTCATTGGTGTTGGCATGTTATTCATTGCCATTGCATTTGGCTCTGGCATAGGAGGCATCATATTGCCTGTAGATGATGTCATTCCCATATTTCCCATGCTATTTCCATTCATAGATGGCATGTTTGCCATGCTACCCATATTCATTTTATTCATTGAAGGTGGCATGCTATTTGATGGCATGGGTTCAGACATAGTTGGTGGCATGGCTTGATTAGGTGCTGGCATAGTATTCATTTGAGATTGCATCATTCCCATATTCCCCATGTTTATGCTGTTTGTATTCATAGGCATGCTGTTCACTGGCATGGGTTCTGGCATAGCAGACATCATATTGTCTTTTGGTGCTGGCATCATTCCCATATTACCCATATTTACATTATTCATCATTGATGGCATACCATTCATATTACCATTTTCCATACCATTCATTGGAGCAGGTTCTGGCATGGTGGGCATCATGTCTGGTTGAGAGTTTGGCATCATTTTATTCATAGATGCCAACATTCCCATATTTACACCATTCATCATTGATGGCATACCATTCATATTACCATTTTCCATACCATTCATTGGAGCAGGTTCTGGCATGGTGGGCATCATGTCTGGTTGAGAGTTTGGCATCATTTTATTCATAGATGCCATCATTCCCATATTTAAACCATTCATCATTGATGGCATACCATTCATATTACCATTTTCCATACCATTCATTGGAGCAGGTTCTGGCATGATGGGCATCATGTCTGGTTGAGAGTTTGGCATCATTTTATTCATTACCATATTGTCCATGTTCATGTTATTCATTGAAGATGGCATACCATTCACTGGCATTGGTTCTGGCATTGTGGGCATCATGTCAGGTTTAGATGCTTGCATCATATTTATTCCATTCATTGATGATGACATATCATTCATATTTCCCATGTTACCATTCATTGGCATAGGTTCAGGCATCATATTTCCTTTGGATGGTTGCATCATGTTCATATTTCCCATGTTTCCAATATCCATACCATTCATTTGAGACGGTGAGGGTGATGGCATTTCCATCCCCATACTATTCATGTTCATACCATTCACTGATGAAGCCATGCCATTCATTGAAATTGGCTCGGGCATTGGAGGCATCATTTCACCATTGGTTGCTGGTTTCATGTTACCATTATTCATTCCATTTACCATTGTCATACAAGCCCTCATTATAGCCCCCATAGCACCTTGACCCATGTTACTGTTTGGCATTGACATCATATTCATGGCATTTTTCATCATTTCTGGAGCCATATTTGCATCCATTGAACCTTTCATAACATTCATCATGTCACTCATTTTCATTGAATCTTGAACATTATTAGCCATTTCCATCATAGTATTCATGTTAGACTGATCATTTGCAGAATTCATCATGTCATTCATTTGATCCCTCATATTTGCCATTTTCATCATATTATTCATCTGTGACATTTTCATCATGTCATCCATCCGTGAACCCATCATATTCATGTTCTGTGAACCTTTACCAGCATTCATCATGTTGTTCATATGGTTCATCATATCATCCATTTTGTTCATTTGGGACATTTTCATCATATCATCCATCTGCAAACCTTTTCCAGCATTCATCATTTGATTCATCATGTCATCCCTCTGTGAACCCATCATGTTCTGTGAACCTTTTCCAGCATTCATCATGTTCATTTGATTCATCATATCATCCATCTGTGAAGCCATCATATTCATGTTCGGTGAACCTTTGACTGCATTCATCATGTTGTTTATTTGTTTTGTCATATCATCCATTTTGTTCATTTGGGACATTTTCATCATATCATTTATCTGTGCATTCATCATATTCGTATTCTGTGAACCTTTTCCAGCATTCATCATGTTGTTCATTTGGTTCATCATTTCATCCATTTTGTTCATTTGGGACATTTTCATCATATCATCTATCTGTGAACCTTTTCCAGCATTTATCATTTGATTCGTCATGTCATCCATCTGTGAACCCATCACGTTCATGTTCTTTGAACCTTTTCCAGCATTCATCATGTTCATTTGATTCATCATGTCATCCATCTGTGAACCCATCATGTTCATGTTCTGTGAACCTTTTCCAGCATTCATCATGTTCATTTGATTCATCATGTCATCCATCTGTGAACCCATCATATTCATGTTCGGCGAACCTTTGACTGCATTCATCATGTTGTTCATTTGTTTTGTCATATCGTCCATTTTGTTTGTTTGGGACATTTTCATTGCATTCATTACGTTTGCCATGTTCATATCTCCCATAGCTCCTTGAATCATACTCATTGACCCTGTATTTCCGTTAGGAGTACCCATGTTGTTGCCCATCATTCCTTGCATCGGAGCAAACTCTGTATTAAGATAACATATGTTTATTAATATTAGCCTAATATTTCCCAATCTGGCAAAACTTTCAACGCAAGGTGCTCTCGGGGGACTCGAAAGAAATAAAAGAGTATTGTGAAAATGCGCCAATAATACGTTTAGATACAAAAAGAACATATCAAAAGAGCTTATTTAAGAAATTTTTGACATAATGAGTGAATGAAGGATCCTATTTGACAGATCGTCAATATTTTCGACGAATCTGACTAATCCTAATATAATATTTTGAAAAAAATAGTTTAAATTCAAGACATACAAATTTGAAACAAGAGGCACAGGGGCCACATCGCTTACCTGAGCACTGTGGCTAGGAAACAAGCAAAAATCAATTTAGTATTGCAATGCTTAAATGCATAAGTGGTACTGAACTACCCCTAAAAGGGAGGGGGTATGATTTGAACAAAATTGAATCTACACTAACTAAGAATGCTTACATTTTTTTTTTACTAACTGTGACTTTTTTCCCTACAAGTTTAAACTTTCATTGTGGCCCCTACCTACCCCTGAGGGTCATGATTTGACCAAACTTGAATCTAAACTATCTGAGGATGCTTCCATATAAATATGACCAATCATGGCTTTGCTATTCTTGAGAAGAAGATTTTTTTAAGATTTCTCCTATATTCCTATGTAAAACTTTGATCGGCCATTACGGCCCAACCCTACCCCAGGGGTCATGATTTGATCAAATTTGAATCTACACCACCTGAGGATGCTTCCATATAAGTATCACCAATCATAGCTTTGTTCTTGAGAAGAAGATTTTTGGATATTTTCCCTATATATTCCTTTGTAAAACTTTGATCGCCCACTGTGACCCCACCCTACCCCAACTGGGCATGATTTGAACAAACTTGAATCTACACTACCTGAGGATGCTTCCATATAAATATGATCAATCATGGCTTTGTTGTTCTTGAGAAGAAGGTTTTTAAAGATTTTCCCTATGTATTCCTATGTAAAACTTTGATCGCCCACTGTGGCCCAACCCTACCCCCGGGGGTCATGATTTGATCAAACTTGAATCAACACTACCTGAGGATGCTTCCATATAAATATGACCAATCAAGACTTTGCTGTTCTTGAGAAGAAGGTTTTTAAAGATTTTCCCTATGTATTCCTATGTAAAACATTGATTGCCCACTGTGGCCCTACTCTACCTCCGGAGGTCATGATTTGAACAAACTTGAATCTACACTACCTGAGGATGCTTCCACATAAGTTTAAAATTTTCTAACACAGTGGTTCTTGAGAAGAAGATTTTTGAAAGATGCCATAAATTTTTCATGAATTCGCAATTATCTCCCCTTGGAAGAAGGCGTGGCCCTTTATTTGAACAAACTTGAATTCCCTTCACCCAAGGATACTCTGTGCCAAGTTTGGTTGAAATTGGCCCAGTAGTTCTGGAGAAGATGAAAATGTGAAAAGTTTACGACAACAACAACGACGCCAACGCTGACGACGACAGACAACGGAAAAATTTTGATCAGAAAAGCTCACTTGAACCTTTGGCTCAGGTGAGCTAAAAAGTATATATCTTTGCCACCGAACGAAGGATTTCTATAAGATGAAGTTCATTTTCAAATATCATTTCTCTTGTGCAACAGAGCGTCCTTGTCAATGTGAAATACTAATTTGAAAAAAAATCCTTTAAAGAACACTGTATTCAATATGTTGCACACTGAAATTACTCATATTTATTTTTATGCTCAGTAATGAGTCTCGAAAGTAGTCATAAACTTACCTCATTTTTGAATTGATTTTGAATTTATCCTATCATTTCAACTATCCTACATAAAAGTATTCTACAAACCCTAACAACCATTCGTATGTTGGATGGATTAAAAAATTCATACTGGGGTTATTGAGATTCTAAATAGGAAATAATAAATTAACAGAAACTTTGATGATTACTTTGTAAATATACTAGTATTCGTATCAATATGTATATCAAGATGTTCTAATGTCACTCACTGTTAACGTGTGCTGCCCTTCTGTATCCTGTAAATAAAAGATAACCAAAATAGATTACGTTAAATAAAGATTCAATTAAAAAAAACTATTCAATATTGGAATGTTTAACAAATTAACTGTCAGCAAATACTGTACTAACGTCTTCTGTGCATAAGCGATGGTTTTCCTCCCATCCCAACTGGCATCATTCCGGCACCTATCATTGAACCCATAGGCATCTTGACCATTGGCATTCCGCTGCTTCCACTCATCATTCCAGTTGACGCAGGTTTCATGCCACCAGCTGAAACCATTGCTTGTCCAGGCATCATAGCCATCATAGGCATCATCATAGCACCTGCTCCTTGCATCATGGCTCCGTTAACAGGCTTTATTCCTGGTGCCTGCATCATGGCTCCAGCAGCAGGCATCATCATGCCTCCAGCAGCAGGCATCATTCCTGGTCCTTGCATCATACCCCCAGCAGCAGACATCATTCCCGGTGCTATCATCATGACTTTGGCACCAGACATCATTCCTGAAGCTGGCATCATTGGAATTCCCATGGCACCTGGCATTGTCATCATGGTCATTGGGGTCATCATTGGGGTTGGCATCACAACCATGGGTGTAGGCATTCTAGGCATGGACGTTTGAGCATTTGATCCAGATCCAGCTGAAGGTGGGAGAGGATCATCTGGTGGAAGACCAGCGGCAGCGGCGGCCGCTCCCTCAAGATCATCGGGAGGAGGTGGACCACCAGATGAGGCTCCTTCGCCACCTGCTGCACCAGCACCTTCAGCAGCAGCACCTCCTGCTCCGTTCGCTCCTCCATTCATTGGCATCTGTTTCCTTGGCATGGGCATAGGCATAGGTCTCATTGGCATCCGCATGGCATTCATCGCCATTTTAGCCATTTGCATTTGACCCATGGCACCTGTAGCCATCTTCATTGGTACTGCATTCATGGGCATCATTCTCATTGGCATAAGTGCTGCACCCATAGGCATTCTTTGTGAAAGACGTCCCCCTGGCATAGCACCCATGGGCATTGGTTCAGGTCTTGTCATTTGATTTCCCATTGACATTGGCTCCGGTGCAGGACCAGGTTCTGCCATCGGTCCCCGTCTTCCAGGAGGTAAGGCTAAACACATATAAGACAAATTGCAACACCATCATTATAATAATAATCTGGATATTAATATAGCTAATATAAGTTATTTCGAAGCCCAAATTCTTTCAATGTATCATTTTATTCATGCTTTCATTTGTAGCTACAAAAATAAAATAAAATGAATTTGAAATAATATATAAAAATAAAAATATTTTATTTATAAATACATACCTTCCACAAAAACTGCGGAAATGGCCGCTAAAACTACGAGGAGGTTTAACTGAGGAGTCATCTTGCCTTTGTAATTAAAAAAAAAAAAAACAGATACATTAAGAATCACAACCTTCTGGTATGCTTTTTAATTATAGAAGACAACTTGTCTTTGAAGAGAAGATTCTGAAAATTATAAATCCATATAAGTGTATAAAACAGAATTATTTATCCATTATTAATAAAGATCGTCAAACACTTCATTTAAGAATTTTGGAAACGAAAGTATTCAATAAAATGTAGAAACTGTAGTCAGTCCTTCTCCACTTTCATCTATTGTTGTTCCTACCTTCTAATTCTGTTATTCGGCAAATAGTGGCTTTGAATTGCGCTGAAGAAGGGCCTGTCTTTTCGTTTTATACCCCCTCCCGCCGGATACCGTGAATGTCCGACCAACCCACAAAATGCTCAAACGTGCCAATAATGTTAAGTACACTTCATCGGATGTGTATCGACATGTCCAACACATTTTCGCTCCTGGAATTAGCTTTTTGCTTGTCAGTGTATCTTTTTCTTGCCAAAGGTGAAATTTTTATGAACATTTCATGATAGTTAGTCTGTTGTTTTGCCTGTTTTCTCGGAGTGTGGTGCACTTTGACCATGTCAAGGTGTTAAATTCTTGTAAGAAATCTGTGAATCATTCGATAATCGTCTCGTTCTTGTACAAACATCTTCACGTGTATGTTACAAGTATGATGCAATAAGAGGAATCAGGAACACTTCTAAATTCATTAAATAATACCTTCTACTGTATCTGGACAAAATTGTGTCAGATACTTGAAGACGAATGTCCATGGAAATTCTAGGAAAAAATCCATTCATTTCACTTTATTTTATAATGTGACGAACATTGCATTTTTTTTATGTGGAAAACGGGGATATAAAAACGGATATGTGTGTGGTACATTAATTATTCTTGTAACGCAAACTATAATATTTTAACCACCAAAAAAGTCCAGGTGAGATTTTTTTTTCAACTTCAACCGTGTTTTTTATTAATTAGTCATAAGCAATGTAGCATTCACTGATTTATCTATTCTGAACATCAAAGGGGACAAAAAGACATAAATGTAACAGAGAGGAAGCGTTTGTTTGGAATTATATAAATCTATTTAAGACAAACTTTGACATATCCTCTACGTTCGTCTCAAAAATCTAGTAGGTAAACGGTACCATCCATGATGAACTATCTACGGTAACAGAAAATGAAAGGTTAGTATTCAGATTCAAAAGAAAAAAAAATACACATTTTTTTAAATCTTCAATTTATAATTTTGTAATCCAAAACATAAAGGTTACCATTTCAATGCTCGTTCTACAACTAAAGACTGTTGTTTTGTTTGCTTTTGCATGGCTCACTTTATTTCGTAACAAAGTATACCATAAAATTGAACAAAGTAAACATGTTGGCATATTTAGAAGTTAAATGAAATGCTAAATGTTTATGTCAGTTTGCAAATATTTTTTTCCCTTTATCATAGCCAAGAAAATTTTAATAAAATGAGACAGAAAATGCGCAGTGCATTATATATATTTTGACGGATTAGGAAAATATATAGGTAAATAAACTAAAACTTCATCAATCATTTTCTTGTCACCCAGAACGAAGTCGGAGGACATTGTTATTGTTTTACCTGTAGTTGTATTTACAATTTCCTAATTATAACATAGGCCGTAATAACTCACATATAATTTTTCCTTAAACAGTTAAAAAGTAATTACGACTGACTTAAAAGAAACTTAAGACAGGTGTTGTAACCAACACGAACAACAACCCAGTGAATGAATCAATGTTTCGGAAAAGAGGGTGTTTCAGTTCTTTTGTTATTTTCCCTAAGGTTGTAGCAGTTTAAAAGAAAAAATTTAAGTAACAGAAAACGGTCTTAAATTTTTTCAGATACAACGGTATATACAGCACAGTGCAGAACAATATTTAGAAACTGCATATCGACTACCAATTTGCCATTAAACGAAGCGTAAATTAGTCACACAGCAAAATAAGTCAAGTTTCCGTTTTTCAAATCGGGAATCCCCATTGTTCTGTAAAATTGCCTCCTTGAAACAGAATGAATTTGATATACGCATGAAGAGACAGGATTTTTCTACAAAACTGCCATTTCCGATTTTTGTTTCAAATAGGCATATTTTTGAAAATCACAAAAATCGAATAAAAATTATTATCCATCCGAAATGCAAAATGTGCACATAAAATAGCACCAGGTACCTCAGTGTCGTAGCTGGTCTAGTGGTAAAGCGTGTGGACTCTTTGCGAAGATTCTTTTTACCTGAGAATGGGTTCGAATCCTGGAATGCCTGGTGTATACATATTTTTTTCCTTAAATAATGGAAGTTCAACGTAAAATCTCTCTTGAGAGAAAAAGAGAGAGGTCGAGAATGTCAGAAAGTTAATGGGTAATATTTTAAATGCCTCCAGAATTAAATTGTTTTCCTTGATTTTGTGATCTAAAACTAATAAGACATACATTTTATGTTATTATTTATGGCGATGTCTTAAAAAATAAAGTACTATCATTTTAAATAATTTAATTTTTTCATACTCATTTCGTTTCCTTATTGTTCTGTTAATTAGTGGCTCAGATTTGACTTGAAACAACTAAATTGAAATGACTCAATATTGCATCAACAGCGTGATTATTGGACACTTTTATTTAAATTCGGATCAATGAACAAGATAGGAAAAACTATGCATGAAATAAACGTAAAATGTGAAATGTTGTAACAAGCTGGACATACCCACCGTTTAAATAAAGTCATCTACGTAGCATTATCTATATTTAGAGATAACTCTTCATGCGTCGTGGGTATTTAGATGTCCTTCTCGATATATAGGGAATAATCGCGAGTTTCTGCAACACCCTCTTTTGGACTTTGTTTTACAGAGCCAGCTTTTCATCAGAAAGTATAGTGTCGTCTGTCCATATAAATGTGTTAAGCATGACAATTTTAGTTTATTCTGGACCTGTTATCAAATTGTGGTATATATATATATATATATATATATATATATATATATATATATATATATATATATATATATATATATATATAAAGAGACAAAGAGCAATACATGTTTTAATTGTTTAATCTTTAAAGTTACAGGATGTTGCTGTTGGTTCGCATCCGTCATATAGTTTCAAATTTGGATTATCTAAGTCGCCGTTGTTGGAAGAACCGCTTCCTAAAGAAGGCGGGCCACTATCTCTGACGCACGCACAACGTGCTTGTGAATGACCTGGCTGGAAATACTGTCTAGGAACTCCGATCCAATCTCGTTTTATGCCACCACTGAAAAAAACACAATTCGTATGCATAAAACAGTGAGATAAACTTAGAATCTTCACTGAAGAAAATATGCACATGACATATTTTATTCATAAATGCATTTCAGGCACGGATCCAGTAAATTTTTCCGGGGGGGGGGGGTCCACCCCATTCAAATATTTCCAACCCAGAAATGTCTTGACAACCAAAAAACTCTGCACTCCTTTCCCAAATATATCAAACCCAGAAAATTTCTTGACAAGGAAAAACAAAAACAAATAACGTAAAATCCATTTTCCAAACGTGAAAAAAATCTATTTCGTGGTGGTGATGTTCACGTTTTCTACAGGGGTCCAAAGTCATTTTTTATTTACTTCAGTATATCCTTTTAATAACTGCAAATTCCAGGGGGTTCGGACCCCCTCCCCCCTGTAGAATCGCGCGTGCATTTGATTAGCAATTAGAGGGGAAGTGAAAAAGTAACATATACACGTTTATTGCCATATTGTATATAAATTTTGAATGAACTGGGTGGCAGTAATAGAAAAAATTACAAATTATTGAAATTTTTTTTTACTGCCACCTAATTAATACAGAACTTACTATATGACAATGTCATGCAGAAAGTACGTTAATTACTTGTCTGCTTTTTTACTTGTTCAAATGGAAAGAAACGGGGAAAAGAATAAGATTCTACGTATATAACGGAGTATTAGCGATTATAAGTAAATGACATGATCATTGAATTGTTTATTTTTACCTGTTCTCTGTACACCACAATCGTCTGCTGATCCCGACTTTTGTCTCGGAGTTACATGGCGGGAATCTCCGTAAGTCTTCATTGTCTTCATCCTGCTTCTTTTGGGCTTCTACGAGTCTTCCCTTGAATTCCTCCAGGGCTTCGGTTGGATTGCCATGTTCGTCATAAAAATGCCCAATTAGTTTTCCTATAAATTAACAAGTGTCAATTATGTCCGATTTATTGCGTGTCTTGGAAATGGTAATAAAAAGTGTACCGAAAATATTTAATTATGTGTTTACGGAAATTTATATTTCTAGTAAATCATAACTACAAAGGAAAACCAAATGACACGCATAATAAGTCCTAAGAGAACTTGTTTCCAGTTCTTTTGTATAAAACGTATCATTATAAAATAAAAATGTTCTCAAAGCATCAAACCACAATCCTACGACTATATATTTTTAAAACTGAACTTCTTTACAGAAAAAGTACCAGTATTGCATTTGTTTATTCTAATTGTAAAAATTACTACACATGAATTCAAAAGATTTACAATTTTAGTATTTGTGAGACGTGTATTCTTTTTTCATAGTTCAGCTGGATTATGCTGATTACTACATTTTATAAGAAGAGGATTTCTTATCAAAACAAAATTTAAAATACACTGTATGTTGCTTTCCATTACATTTTTTAATGAAAGATTTAACGGCTACTAAATTGTGTCTTTGTATACCGTAAACGTTCAGACATTTTCACTCTGGATATATCTGTACCCTGTTTCTAATTTAATAATCCTCATATATACACTGAATTTATTGAAGGAATTCAATCAATTTTGACAAAGTTGAAAATGAAAATTAAAAATTGCTTATTCTATTTCTCTCCAATAAAATGTTAGTTTTAATTAATTAATACCCATTTTTGAAGGTCATTGAATCCAAAGATCCAAGGGTCAAACATTAGGATGAATTTTCTAAACGGTTCTATAGCTTTTACTTGTAATTATACTTTTTATAATTATACTAATTATGCAGATGAATGGACCTGCAAGTCACATACATTCATTCAGAAGTAAGTTTTACAAATATAACATTAATTGTGAATGAAAAGAAATGTAAGTATAGGCACTGTTTTATAAAACATTAATATATTTAATATCATACTCCAGCCAGCAATGAAGTTGTAATTCTTATGGAGAGGGCTTATATAGGAAGTGTGTCTGCTGCCCAACCCTATTATACATAACATAATGAAATGTTTTACTGTGTATTATATTAATGATAGAAATAATTAAGAAAATAAAATTACATGTATAAAAATAATAAATACAATAATCATGCTGACAAACTTGCAGATATGGTGCATCTGTAGATACTTAATGAAATGCCTGCTTTCTTCTATGCCCCAACAAGGTGTGGGGATGGGGGGGGGGGGGGTATTGGTCCTCTGGGACAATGCTAGTCTAGGACAACTTTCTGTGGTTAAGAATTGAAGTGAACTATTACTACTTTATATGGAGTGGGTGATATTACACATTTCTTGTTATGTCAGGAGATGTATGTTTCATTGTATATTCTTAGAATATGTATTTCCTCAAATTATCAATTATACTAGAAATGCTAAATTACATCAATCATTTATATGTCAAAGGTAGCACTTTTGGATGTCACATACAAATGCATGGTGGCAAATTCTTTCCTTTTAATTATCCTAATTTGACAGGTAATGTAGGTATATCATACCTAGAGATGTGTACTGTTGAAATACTGTTGATAGGTAATATACATGTAAGTGTATCAAAATTGTTTGTTTGGAATTGAGGGGCGAGGGGTCATATCCAGGATGGAGGGAGGTAAATTATTTTTATTTTAAAGTGAAGTAAAATTCAAAATTGTTAATAAAAATCTCAGTAAACAGTGAACACATTATTTTCTGACTTTTTGTAAAAAGTATCTCCAATCAACCAAGAACCCTGTTTTTGCTAAGACCTGACAGTACTCTAAAGTGTTTTGTGCTTGTGATAACAGGCCAAGAACTGATTAATAAAAAAAATCTCATTTTTGGTCAATAAAATTGTTTCAGGAGGAATCATTTCAATAAGTCGGGAGGCAATTCCATACAAATAATAACTTTAATTTGGCCTCATACCTAGATATGTGTACCGTGATAGGTAATGTAGGTATATCATACCTAGATATGTGTACTGTTGATAGGTAATGTAAGATTATCATACCTAGATATGTGTACTGCTGTTTGTAGAAGTCGACCCAGCCTGCTATTCCCTGGATTTCCTGGAGGGACAATCCTGTGAGGTCCTCTTTTAATCCTTCCTTTGTGAAATCACCTGATACAAAGGCCCTCGTGCCAGCATTTCCTGGGAGGAAAAGTCAAGAGGTTATTAGGTATCATGTATAAACTTTTCAGAACCATCTGCACACATGGCATAAGGAAGGTGATTTCTGATGAAGATGATTAATGCCAATACAAAGCCAGGAAATACCTTCAAGATGGTAAAGGTGAGTAATAAATTGAGAGGGTAATTCTAAAAGGTTCATACATGTATTGTAATTAAACATCACTTAACATATATTTTCCATTGATTTATTGAACCATGCACTGTGATTAAGAAGTAATAAAGAAAAATCTTTTAATTTATTTGTTGTCATGTGTATAATCTGTCAATTAAATTGCCGATGAGTTCAACAAGCGACACAAAATGTCAATACCATATCGACACATGCTATGATGTACAGCAAATCGTGATCGACCCTCATTGTCACCAAACAATGACAAGTGCATTTTATAAAGTCAAATTTTACTCACCTGTGAAGAAGTGATAGGTTCCCCCTGGTCCATAGTGTTTCCTACCCTTTGTGACGTCAAAGACTTGTCCCAGAACGGCCAGGTAAATATCGCTTCCGTCAACACCCCGATATTTTTCCAACTCAACAACTGTGAAAAGTTTGTCATTGGAATGGATTCCGGAGCCACCAAATAAGCGGTCCCTAAGACTTTTTGGAATGTATGAAAACAGCTGTTCTCTCTGATGTTTGAAAATATCCAGGGATAACAGCACAGCGACCCCGCCCACGACACAGGAAAATGTAAACAAAGTTCTAAGAAAGGACATGTTTATGTCTTTCTTCTTGTTTTCCAAAAAAATTCAAGTATATGATAACATATTCTATTCATTACACGCTCAAGATAATTTGCCATGAAATAAGGGTCATCTTAACACCAGACAGGTAGATAAGAACCGGTAGACAGTTACACTCACAGGTGTTAAACGTTACCGGAAACAAGAAACGCTACCTAAAATCAAGTTTTTGACTTAACAATTTTTATTTCCGACTAGAAGTTATATGATTTGTTATTTTATTTGTTCATTTTTTATTACCTTTATTTCAATAATTACTCAAAAGTATATACGTACCACATGGCTTTGAGGGTGACATACCAGAATATTTGACATATATAGGTGACATATATATAACTTGACCGGTGTGGTGCACACTCGTGTAACAGGAAAGGAGTGTACATGTATGGCTGGACCGGGAATCGAACCCGGGACCCTTGCATCACTAGTCAGGTGCTCTATCTACTGAGCTACCTAGGTCAATATCCACGGCCCAAAACATTACATTTCTCCCTCCTTAAATTGTCTTCGCCCTCGAAGACACAACCCAAGTTCTTATTGCCCCTGGCAGGACTTGTCCCTGCAAGTCCAGGGGTGGTCAACGGCACCAAATCTGTAACAGGAAAGGAGAAAATGTATGGCTGGACCAGGAATCGAACCCGGGACCCTTGCATCACTAATCAGGTGCCCTACCGACTGAGCTACCCAGGCTGATATTCACGGCCCAATCCATTACACTCCGAGGCAAAATAAACCGAAATTTGTCTTTAAATGCCCCCCCTCCCCTGACCCTCTTCCCAAATCTCAAATAATGCATTTTGAATCTATTACAACTCAAATGTAGCATTACAAACGAAATTTAGGCAATATGATAGTTTGAGCTCTTTGATTTCTGAAACAATATGTACCTTAAAATAGATAAAAATTCAATGATGACAGGCCCGTAGGAAGCAATTTCACTTTGAGGGGGTACAACCATACATTTTCTGTTGAGGGGGCACTATCAACTACCAAACTTCCTTGACATGCCAAAAAAAAAAGTCAACAGACGTTATTATTGAGGTGTCACAAGCATATAGTAGCTATGTTTTCTGTAGTTTTCTATATATCGGCAAAATTATTGGGGGGGGGGGGGGTTCCTATGGCCATGGATGAAATAAGAAAATTAATTGATTAACTTGTCCTACTGTATTAACATTCTCGTGTCCTTTGTGTACCATATCACTTCTAAGCAATGTTCATTTTGAAACCACAAATGTTCTACGATAAATTATTGCTCCGAGATACACTCAAAGAAATTTTTCATCACCACAGAGTAATAGGTTTAAATCAGTATTGACAAATTCAAGCATGAACAAGCGATTGAAAAGAGTATTTCTAGCATTGGAATACTTTTTGCATGCAAAAGAGAAATGATACACATCCTCGCGTTTTCCGCATGAACACGAAGGACTACTAATAAATATTTCGTTTATTCGGGATGATTTGACAAGACAGTGTTATTTTTCCTTGGGCAGCAATCTGCATATAATTTAACTCATTTATTTTTGTCAAGATATTAATATAAAAACGATATGGTTGCGTGTATATATTGCGACCACATCCGAATAGTTGAAAACTTAATTTTGTAATTTTTATATTCTAGGTATTTATTTCATCATATTTTTGGCATGTGAATTCCCTTGACTAAATTTTATTTCAGATTTTAGCACACGCTTCCAATACTTTATCCAATAGATTTATCTTACTGTACATGTATATAATTTTTTTCACACATTGTACTTAGCACTTTAACTCTACGTTACATGCACTGTGTGATAGATGAATCGAAAATCAAATTATTCAGGTAATCAAGTTAATGACATAAATGATAAAACGTACATTCCTTTCCTTTAATTTAAATACATTTCTTTGGTTTGTAGAGGTGTTTACATTGTTAACATCGATATGGGGCCGAAGGCACCAACGAAAAAGCGAAAGAGGACTAAAATTTAAGTAAGACAAATGGGGAAAAAATGGATCTCCTTTTTTGAGACAATGTTTTATTCACTAAGTTGTGCATTTTCTTTTCCCACACAAAACGTTGGGGATAGGAATACACACAATTCGTTTAAAAAATTTTTTTAAACAACTATATTGATTCAATAACCCAAAAGTTGTTAAAGCCGGATTCATCACAGAGGCGAGATAGTGAACTTTTATAGCACGATAATTTCTAATTTCCATTGTAAATGAAACTTTGAAAAATAATGAATCGCTGAGTAACTTGGCAGTAATGATGCATAGATTAAACGCTAATTGGAGCCCTTGTTAGCTAATAAACTTCAACCCCTAATAACATTTTTATATAGATTTCTCACCTACATAATAAAATTTAGAATAACATATCAAGTGACACGTGTACTTTACATAGAATTTTCGTTCTCCTTTAACAATACTACGAAGGGTTATCAAAAAGTTCGTGGATTAGCACCAGAAAAGTAAAACCACTATATGTACATCAATACATTTTTTAACATATTTAAAATATAATCATCATCTTTTTCTATCATAAGTTCTATTTTTTAGTGAATCGTAAATGTTTTTGATGGTATATCCAGGCGCAACCTCGAACATGACGTATTTTCTATCTGAGTGAAACTGAGAAAAACTCTTCTAATATGAGCATTTGTCATCCGAAAATCCTATTAATTCACTCATGTGATATGACACAATTTTCCCGTAAAATTTGCAATTTTTACCTCATTCTGTAAATTATATGAAATTTTATAGTAAATTTTATATTGGATGCACAAACAATATAATTAAAGGGGTTAAAATGACGTCGAAAGGGAGTAGGATGTCATTTTACAACATTCTAAAAAGTTTCAGCCCCTGAAAAACCTGGCATAGACTTATATAATGTTTAAACAGGCTACAGAAAAATAAAATACATCCAGAGTACTTGTTTTTAAATACCAAAACAGATTCAGCAAGAAAAGACAATTTGTAGTCATGGTTTCCAAAGTCGGTCACGTCGAACAGTGACGTTGATCATTGCATGGTTGACATTGGACTCCGACAAGAAAATTATGTTTGCAAAATCAAGCGAGGATCTTTTCTTATGTATAGATTTAATATTTACAATATTAATGCATTGAAATCAGGTGTTCATGACATTGTAAAGTCATCTAAACAAGACGGATTTAGGTCTTTACTCCAGAGAATCTCATCAAGACAAGTGTACTGGGGCAGAAGGAGCAGGTATTGAGAAATAATGAATGAAACTAAAAGGCGACAGCGCCGGGTGATCATATAATGCCCTTTTTATTTAATGATAATTTGGCAAATAACATATCAAACTGAAATTTTCAACACTTCTTAAACTTTTGTTATTTTCTGTTCCCTATAAATTTTGTAACCAACGACTACATAGTATTAATTTTATCGCATCAGTCCACGAACTTTTTGATAACCCCTCGTATGTTCATATTTTAAGGAAATCAAGTTAATTTTATTGAAAATATTGTCTCAAAAGTTCATGTTAAACACAAATTTTTACATTATAATCAGATGTTCTGAATCCACTAGCACTTCTCAAACGACGTGACCCTGTATGGGATGTTAAATATTAGAAAAGATTCTAAACATCTAATTTTAATTACTCAGTAAATTGCATGTTATATACTTTCAGACATAAAGAAGTAAACACACAATTATTTATATATACCGTTACCGATTTTCGACTATATAAGAGTAATTCGTTCATATTCGCTTGAATTCAACCCCCCTTTTTTTTTCAAACAAAAATTTACGGAGCCCTGATCCAAGGCTAATTATTGTATTGGTTTAAATAATTCAAAGTCCATCATTTTAGCAAAATTCATCTGGTTTGCCTTTAATTGATCAGATTTATTTCCCCTTGCTTCACCTCAGGGAGCCTATCTGATGTCGAAAAAACCAGAAATCATTATCTTGCTAACCCACACATTGATATTTTTAAAATACTAGTATATTTATCTACAGCTAGCACTTAAAAATGTAGAATATACTTTGATTTATAGAAAAAAAAATATTTTTAGTGATAATAAAAAATATTTCATAATGTTTTTCCGAATTCTGAAAAGGATAATCAAGAACATCACTATAAAAAATAATAATATTGACCTCATATTAGTAAGTTAAAAAAAAATTCCCCTATCAACCTACCCAATTTTTTATCCTGAATCGGGAGAGGGCAACCAAATATTTTCAAGATGGCCGAATTATTCTGATTTAAGAATATTTTTAAAATTCTGAAAAAATATTCATTGTTTTCAAGCTCTGATTACCCCCTCCTTTTAAAGGGGAATATTTTTAAAATACAGATCTTTTTCTTCTTTTTTTTAATAAAGATCTTTATTATATCAAAGACATACATGTATACAATGTACATCAAATTCACATTCATAAAATAATAAATAACAAAAATCAATGGGATCTCAAAGACTTTTCCAGATTTCTGGCACACAAAACGAAAGCTCTACCTGAAATGAAGAAAATATTATGTGCGATTTTAGTGAGATGAATATTTTGATTCACCTGTTTTCAAAGGTGCATAAAAAGAATAGCTATTTTGATATGACAAAATAAGAGTGTACGCTAAATATTAAACTTGTATTAATATACAATCATGCATCTTAGTATATGTAAGCAAAAATAGATAATAAGACAGTCGTCTTTTTACAATTATTTGAAAACAAAATGTTCTGCGCAGTCGAAATCTGCATGTAAATTCTCATTTCATGTACTTTATTTTCACTATTTAGTATTTATTTGTCTGTTTTTAAAAGGCTTCGAAGATTTACCTACGTTATGTAATAAAATATAGACAATTTCCGCTTTGGAGACGCTAAGAAACGCTAAGAAAGACCTTTGCTGACACACATTTTTTTATCTCTTCACCCTGATGTCATGTAAATTTCTTCTGGCAAATTCAAATTCACAACCTGACGTTGGAGTCAATGGCCATCATTTTCAACAAAACAAGATTTGAATTCAGAAGCAGACACGAATTACAAATCATGTATATATGTAGTGAATTTCTTGACAGACATTGACACGTCTCAATGACAGCTAAAATGAAGTTTTGATTTCTCAGGTGGGTCTTATTTGACTTCATCAGTTAAAAAAGGAAAGGAAAGAACACAGAGTGCACCTATGGAATTTTTTTTCTCCATACCTTAGAGACGCTTGTTTATTTGATCTAAATGAAGATACCTCAATACTAGAGGCAAACTACTGAAGTTGTGATCAATCGTCTGCGTGTCAACATAAAAAAAGCAATTCGATCTGATAGTCATGTGGGCTGCATGCTTTAAAGTGATCAATTTTGAGTCATGTGATTGACGATTCTGCTACAATATTGGCATGCATCACCTGATCTCGTGCACCACAAACTTACATTATCAATATATCCCTGAAATCCGAGTTTAGTTTGGTCACACCTTCCTATATTTAATGGATTTAAACGTTCCTCCACTACTCCTGGAAAAAAAAGAATCAAAGATTATTATCGATAAGTAAGACAAAACCTTACTGAATATTGAAGTACACATGTACATGTATAGTGATGTCATCATTATTGATTGGGGGGAGGGGGGGGGTAATCGACAACATCTTAGGCAGTTAAAACTGATAAAGCACTCAACACTGGATGCATGCATGAACTTTTAGTCCAAAAAGGGCTTATAGTAAGTTGAGAATGAAACTGGTCCAAAATTTTGAGAAACATTAACCTGGTCACTTCCAGACCATTAACCCGGTAACTTCCAGGGCAGAAAGTATAGTCTGGTATGAGATGCATGACCCATGACAGGCCCGTAGAACGTGGGGGCCAGGAGTATAGTATTTTGCTGTAGTAAATTTTCCTTAAGATGCTGCCCCCCCCTTTTTGATGTTGTATGGTCGAGCACTGGCAAATTCTAGGATTTGGACAGTAAATTAGCTTCTTTTTTTTTTGCTTGTCCGATTTTTTGGGGAAAGAAAACCTCCTAATTTACTGTCCAAATCATGGAATTTGCCAGTGCTCGACCTAACAACAAAAAGTGTGGGGGGGGGGGGTCAGCATATAAACCAATATCTACTATAGCAAAATACTATACTCAGAAAAAAGGGGGGTGTCCTCCGCGTTCTACCGGCCTGGAAAGCAAAGCTAAAAGTAGTATTCCAATGAATTGGGTGTCACTTGTTAAAGCAAAGTATAGTTCCTCTCTCTCTCTCTCTCTCTCTCTCTCTCTCTCTCTCTCAATACAACAGCCTTCAACAGAATCTTATTTTTATCCTCGTTCAATTTGTTTCAGTACTGATAAAGAAAATATGTCCTTGATTAAAGGATACATGTATAATGACCAAGTTCTTTGTTGCAGTTGAGCGCAACTTTTTGTCAGTCTTTTTTTCAAACCAAAAAAGCAACTGAAGATAAATCTTATTCGATTGATTTTTTTTAAACTGATTTTTCAAAATTTTGAATTACAATCTCTCAACGGTTGAAATGTCAGGGTCAGTGAGTTAAATTTTTGTTTATTTCAAACATTTGCAAAAGACAAAAAATATTGTATTTGACAAATCAATGCCAATGTTGTATTGCGTGAAAAAATTGTTTGCTCCATATCTTTAAGGTTACAAATAAAAATGACTTCATGGGCAAAACAGGAAGGGAAAGACCTGAACACTTCATCATAATGAAATATAGAAATATATTGAAGAATCGTATTAGGAAGTTGACAGGCAATATGCAAACCTTATATCTCTTCTTTTTTTCACTAATTGGAAGTGATAGAATAACTAAAAAGACTGTATGAAAATATGTTATGGTTTCAGCAGACAAGGCTTAAAACAATATCGTCTTTGTTTGTTAGGATCATTATTAAAACTGTATTTTAGAGTAACTTGGTTTTAATGAAACATCTGGAAATCCAACTTATACTCACAGTTCACATTCAAAGGATGAAATTCTTCAAAATCACATTTCGGTCTCTAAAACTTTAAACAATCCACTTAACGAAAGTGAGTTTGATCTGCCCTACCTATACTGGATTCCTATACTTCCTAATAATCCTTTCAAATAAAAACAAATTGCCGGGTCTAGCAACTGTTCTACCAAGTCCGTATCTTTACTCCTCACAAAAATATTAACAACTCTGAATGAGAAACTTCAAACTCACTGTGTTACAGCATATTCGAAAAGTGGTGTAAACCAAATGTGGATTCTCAAAAATTCCAATGAACTTTAGAAAATTTAAAATAAAAAAATTCAAAAGTCAGTGACATCAAAAAGGTGTGACTTTTCTACACTTTATACAGCTATTCCCCATGATAGATGAAAAACTGTGCACTTTGATATCATAGACAACTGTTTCTTCAATAAAATGGACTCGGAAATTTTTATATATCTTGTGATTGGTCATCTACAAAATTAATTTATAAAAAAAATCACTCTGATTCTACACATAAGTACTCTGAGATTGATATAAAAAGGATGTTGGAGTTCCACATTGACAACATCTATGTAGTTTGTGCAGACCAGGTCTGCCAACAATCTGTTGGAAACTGATTGCGCTACTTTATTGGCTGACCTGTTTTTATATTTCTATGATGCAAAATTTATTCTAAACTTCTACATGAGAAGAAGAAAACACTTGCAACACCTTCAATTCGACATTCAGATATATCAACGACGTTTTATCAATTAACAATAGCTACTTCCATTCCTATGTCGATTCGATATATTACAGTGAACTCGAAATAAAAGACGCCACGGAGTCTGCCACATTTGTTTCATATTTAGATGTTTTACTGACTATAGACGACAAAGGCCAATTAGCAACAAAACTGTATGGCAAACGAGATTGCACCTTTTCCATCGTCAACTTTCCTTATTTATGCAGTAATATTCCACTATCACCTGCATATGGTGTATATGTCTCCTAACTAATTCGATACCCAAGAACATGCTCTTAGTACGATCAATCTTAAACCGAGGAAGGCGGCTTCTTACAAATAAGATAATGTTTCAAGAATTTCAACAAATTGTTAAAGTGAGCATTTTGCAAATTCTGTGGTCGTTATAATGATCTTGTTAGTAAATGCAACCTATCATGGGATCGTATTTAGATGACTTTTTTCATACCAGTTATTAGGCCTTTGTTTTTTATACTAAAGTTGACTACTAGGGCTCACGGCGGGCGTGATCGGTCGACAGGGGATGCTTACTCTTCTTAGGCTCCTATTCCCATATCTGGAATTTCCAGGAGTCCGTGTTTTTTGCCCCGTTCACAGTTTTTTGAGATTGCTCAGTGTTTGTTATCTTCAACTATTTCATTCTTATCATGCATAAAAGTTGTCATTAATTGGATGATTTTGACTCTAAGTCCCAACTAAAAGGTCATGATCACAAAAGCTTTGACTTAACTTAGCTAAGGCCAATATATTTATTTCTGAGGCAGAGAAAAATAATACCAAAAACTTTATATATTATATACCAAATTTGCTATTAATAAGTTGGCGTGAAACTGAGTTCAAAGTCTCAAAGGGTAGGTTCATTTTAGCTGTTACGAATTATCTGAACATATTTCAAATGCAACATGAACGGCAGTGTGTTATAATCTTGCTTAAAAGTACAAGGTTGCTGGGGCAATTGAATATTTTTTTCTGTTGCCAATATCTCCAAGCGTTAAGCCATTAATGAGAATGACCAAACGAAGCCGATGCCCGTCATTAATTTGATTCTGCAATTTTTGTCTTAACATATCTCAAATATCAAGTTGCTGCAGCTTCTGAGATGAACCTGTCACAGAGCCCAAAATTATGAAGACAGAAAAAAGTATCCCTCGATATTGGATAAAGTAATTTGTCAAGGTAAATATCTATACTAAGCATAAATGTTCTATCATTTCTGTGATATTTTCTAAATTTATATAAACCGCTTTCTTTAAAAAAAAAAAATGGTGATTGGCAGTGTCAAATTCAATTTCAACTTCCGGGTTATTGGATTTACAAACAAGATCATTATATCAGCCATATTGTTTGCGAAATGCTGACTTTAATAAGATTGTTGAAATCCGTGTAACATCAACTTTATTTGTCAGCAGCCTGCCTCTGTGAAGAAATTGATTGTACCCAGAGCACGCTTTTCCGTATCGAATCGGTTGGGAGACATTTTTGTCTAGTAAGCACATACTGATGTTTAATAGTATGATTAAAACAAATAATGAGTGATAATTAAAAGTATAGCATTATCATGCATTGAATTGAAATATATATTTTCTAACTAGAAAACGTATTAACAAATTGGCTACAGAGATTGTTAAGATAATAATTATGTATGTGCATTTTTGTATTTAAGCAAAAAAATATTAAATTTATATACCAGTTAGTGGAATAACTTCTTTTTTGCCATTCAGGATTGCTTTAAATTCACTTCCATCATAAATCATTACCAGATCATTCCAATGGAACATCTGTAATAGAAGTGGACATTGTACAAATTAACTTGTGACCATTCATACGCTTTATATGCTTAATAAGCAGTTTTCATACTAGATATTCAAAATGCCATTACTATCTGTTCAATTTAAAGCTTCATTTAAACACACCGAGGATAAGCATGTCGATGGTATTGTACAAACACATGTGTATGAGGGTTATATTAAAATTGGCAAAGCTAAAACTAAGGTATATGACTTGTATTTTTCATTTCATATTTGGTAAAAAAAAAAAAAGGTATACAAATTTAAACAAACCTTAAAATGCATTTTAATTGTTACGCTTTGTTTTACTGTTTTAATGGTCACAACAAGCTCGCGGGATTTGGTATCAATTTCAACACCGTAAGACATCGCTGACCCTTTGGCACAGTTGCCAACCAGAAGCTGTCTCTGTTCCTGAAACTTTGTTGGTTTAAATCTTAGTTTTGTCATTAAATGGTTCCCTATATAACCGCCACTAAATCGCCATATGAGAAGTTCTCCATCGCCATGAAATACAGCACTGCTATTCTGAAGTTGGACTCTGTTAATTGCAATGGTGCTTTTCCCAGAAATGTCACTGAAGTCACTATCAAAGGTCAACTGCAACTCTGGAGTACAATCTAAAACAAAAGAGAATAGACAGTTAATTGTGGTAAAGAAAAAAAATGATGAAATGATTTACTACTAGTAGTTTATAAAAATCAATTGACCTCTCAACAGATTTCCATATACATTATGTGGTTTTTGTTAATTGATGTACATGAAATAATTTTCCTTCTTAGGTCTAAGTAGTACTATTAACGGGCCATCGTTTGTCTTTGAATTTGAAAGGCGGGTTCACTTTCGAAGTCAGACCGAAGCTCGAAAGTTAACAGCTTATAAGAAATAATAATCAATGTGGAAAATACATATGGTTTCTTTTCCTATCCGAAATTCCATCTTATAACTTGGAACTTTTCTCTCATTATACTTGATAATGATTATTCAGTTCTTCTAATTAAATGCACTAAATGCAATTTCACTTTCCTAGCTTTACAGACATGGAAGTAATAAAGATTGAGAATAGAATATCTATGCTTATTTTAAGCTTACCAATTAATCATCGCACATTAAGACTTTATGTGCAGGTTTCAAAACTATTGTTATTTTGTTCTAATATTTTGTATTAACATAGTGATAGAAGAGTGGAATTACCGAACTGTTTAATGACAAGAAACGATTTAGTACAGCCACAGGTTTCTAAGTCAAAAATCGTCCCAGGTGGACATGGTCTGATTTCAGACCCAAATGTCAGCCTCTCAATATAAAACTTCGGGTCACTGGGGTGGGCATTCTTTGTGCAGCTTTGATCTAAAATGAGGAATTTTTATAAAACATATTCAATTATTATTCAAATAAAAGTCATATGTATACCATAAGAACACAACAAACAGTTTTAAAACTGATTCCAAGAATGATCGGATAAATGTTCGTTATTCCTTTTTCTAATACATGTATAATAAACACAAAGCAGAATTTTGAAAAGTGTCCAGAAGAGAAACTGTTTTAATTATGTAGTAAAGTTTTCATTTAGAAATAAGCAGAATAGCCAAAAAATATTATAAGTACTTAAAAAAGTATTTGTAATTGGACGACGAGGTCGTACCATCTTACCTCTTTAGCACTGCGCATTTATCAAGAGGCTATACATAGTGCAAAATACTGGAAATGGAACTGTACGCTTAATCATAAAAAAAAATCCCAGCGATGTTTGGTTTTGACTATTTCTGTTATTTTGCTACGATCTGTCACTCGCTTTCGGTTATTAAATTAATTAATATAAATTAATTGCATGCGTCTTTCGAACAATTAAAGCTAAACACACCCAAAACAAACCTGCTAATTAATAAATCAGCACAAAGCGCCCTGGTAGAGATTGAAATCTGGGACCACAATGTGCTGTGTGCCGACAATTTGAGACCCATGGACAAGATTTACTTGACTGAAGCTATCAAGACTATATGGCCTACAATAATTAATCTAAGGGCCATGTTGGTAGGGTGGTGTTACTCAATAAAAAAGACTTTAAGCTTCAATAATGAATAGATTTTTACATGTATTTTGAGACACTTCAGAAAAATGCCTATAAATTCCTTGTAACTATTGCTAGCTTTGTTGCTGTAAGGAAGAAAATATTTAAGATGATGAGGATTATCATTTTAGAAAACTCCTATAATTTTCAGTTGGATCTTGTTTACTATGATATGCTTTACATGAACTTCATTTTCTATTAGAATGCAATCTATATCAGAACTGTCGATATAATTTTCTATATAAAAAAATATGTTGGGATTTCTATATATAACAATGATTTATATACTCTATCTAAATATATATATTAACTCATTTACCATGTCAAACTGCGATGTAATTAATACAACATAACACAAAGAAATTATTAATAAATGCACATATTGCTGAAAGTGACAAATGTTCGTTGGGACGGGTGTTATTTATATATACAAAGTGGAAAATAATTGAAATAGAAAACACAAAGAAATGAATATAGTACAGCATTGTAAACTCTTTTAAATTTTTGCTTTGTGATGAGTATATATATAAGAAATGCTTAATTTTGTTTTCTTTTTCAATTATTTTTTCATTATATTACAATACTATACTACCACTGTACGATTCTTGACTTTCTGAACTTCTTGACCAAGTAAGAAACTGCACTCATTAAATAGCTTTTAATCCTGTGAATATGTAACGATCTTACTCCCGTGACAAAAATAATATTTTTAAGATTCCTTAATCAAAATGTGAAACCCTTGTTGTCATTCTGCTATGAAAGTGGTAATTTCTATGCATGAATATGTGCGTGTTTTCCCCCTGCAAATATGGTCTCTGGAAGATTAGCTTTTAAATTAACTACTCAACTTTCATCTATCCTCAAATATTTGAGCTTCAAAAAGGACATTTCTTCCCAAGCGAATATAGTTGAAACTATATGTACATATTATTTTACAGTTTGTGAAAACTTGTAGAATTTGTCCATGCAAAACCATTAGAGAAGCGGAACAAACAGATACATGATAAAAAAAACTTTATGCAATAGTTCTAGAGAAAAAAATGTGAAAAATTAAATACACACACCCTCTCATCCACCACCCATATATATATATTCAGACACAGCATAAACAATTTTTAATGTTAAATGTCACCTTAGTTTTCTGCACAGGTGAGCAAAAGTTCCTTTTTAAAGAAAATCTTGTTAAAAGTCAATTTAATTATTTTATAATTATAATAATTACAATATATATATATATATATATATATATATATATATATATATATATATATATATATATATACAACATGAAGAAATGCAATTTGACTGGAACATACCTGTATATTTAAAAAGGAGAAAACTGATTTTAATGTTTCCAATATTAGAATTCCCTATGCAAAATAGAGATTAGTCACAAATTCTTTACACCTGACAGCAGAATAACTAGCATTACTTACATAACTGTTGAATAAATTTATGATTTTTTTTTCATTTGAGGATTATAATATAAAAGTGGTCAGATGACTTAAAAACAGGAGGCCCATGGGCCACATCGCTCACATGAGCACATTGGCTAGGAAAAAGCAGAAATCAGTTCATTATTGAAAAAGTTTACGGAGGGGGAACTTAAATTTACACTACCTCAGGATGCTTCCATATCAATATAACTAATCATGGCTTTGCTTTTCTTGAGCAGAAGAATTTTTAAGATTTTTTTCCTATATATTCCTATGTAAAACTCTGATCGCTTATTGTGGCCCCACCCTACTCACCCTGAATTTGAACAAATTTGAAACTACACTACCTGAGGATGCTTCTAAAATAACATGACTAATCATAGCTTTGCTGTTCTTGAGCAGATTTTTTCAAGATTATTCCTATATATTTCTTATGTAAAACTTTGACCATCTGTTGTTCCCCCAACCCCTGAGGGTTCACAATTTGAACAAACCTGATTCTACAATACCTAGGGTGGCTTCTGTATAAATATGACTAAAATGGCTCATTTGTTCTTGAGAAAAAGAATTTTTAAAGATATTTCCTATGTAACGTGTATAATCAGGTTCTTACAAGGGATATATACGTTTTCCTTTTACTCTGTCTGAGTTAATGATTAGAATGGTTATCAAGACCGCTCTGCCTGAGAGTAAATCACACAGTACTAAAATTTTCTCTTATCTAGAGACGAGGACTGGGTAAGGTACCACTTGCACCGTGTTTCTCCCTTAGGTTCCTATTGAAAGATAAGGACCGGGTGTCTCAATCTTCTTCAGATTTACTACACCCAGAATTTAACATTAATTCCCTATGATACTTGCCACTGGTGCTTTTAACTTTTATACTTTTATTTTGCTATCACCTTTATTTTCTTTATTGCTGATTCAACGGCCAACTTCTTCAGCTAGCTTCTGAATGCCTGACTTTCCCACCTTTTATACCCTTTGGCTAGTACATTCCAAGGGTTGTCAGGTCATTCCACTATTTAAAGTCTTCAATGCATTTTACGCAAATGCCCCTTAACCATTACACTTATATATTCCTATATAAAACTTTGACCCACTGTTGTCGTCCCGCCCTACCCCAGGGGTCATGACTTGAACAAACTTGAATCCACACTTCCTGAGGATACTTCTGTATTAATATGATTAATAATGGCTCAGCTGTTCTTGAGAAGAAAATTTGAAAAGATATTTCTTATATATTTCATGTAAAAGTTTGATCCCCTGTTGTGTCTGCGCCCAACATCTTGGGGTCATGATTTGAACAAACTTGAATCTACACTACCTAAGGATACTTCTAGATTAATATGACTAATAATGGCTCAGCTGTTCTTGAGAAGAATATTTTTAAAGATATTTCCTATATATTCCTATGTAAACTTTGACCCCCTGTTGTGGCCCTGCCTTACCCCCGGGGATCATGATTGAAACTCTTGTGGCCCCGTCCTACCCCGGGGGATTATGATATGAACAAATATAAATCTAGAGTATGTAATGAAGTTTTCACATACGTTTCATCTATTCTTGCCTAGAGGGTTTCTTGAGAAGAATATTTTTAAAAATTGCCACCAAATTTTCAAGCATATTTAATTATTTCCCCTTGAAAGAGGCCGTGGCACTTTCTGTGAACAAACTTGAATCCCCTGTACCCAATGATGCTTTGTTGCAAGTTAGGTTGAAATTGGCTCAATGGATCTTCAGAAGAAGTCGAAAGTGTGATAAGTTTTCAGACGGACGCCGGGCACTCATTGATCAGAAAAGCTCACTTAAGCCTCCGGATCAGCTGAGCTAAAAAGTTTCATTCAACTCGTACACAGCGTGCCTTTGGGTTATTGGATGATTTTCTTCATATATGGCATACGAAAGATTGAGCTTTGCTATCAATTCTATATGAAATTGTAAAACGGTTATATGTTAAGTAAATGTATATGTCATTGTACCTTAAAAGTGTTTGTTTAACAGATGACATGCAATACAAAATTCGCTTCGCATGTCATCTGTTAAAATGACAAAATTTACCTTGCACTTTCAATCAAAGCCTTCATTATATTTTTTTTGAAAAAAAATTATCGACGTATTGATGATAGGGAATGTCCCTCACTTTCCTTCATAGTTCTACAGATAAACACTGACCCCCCCCCCCACCCCCCACCCCCAAATCAGAGATTTAAGCAAAGATTTTACAGCGTCTTTTTGAAATAAACATTTCATCATACAGCGGAAGGAAATATCAATCAAATTAAATCAAATCATTCTCTTTTCTGGCTTTGGGTAAAAGTTGAGTTCAACAATTGCAATGCTCTTGGTCTTTGTTACATGAAAAGGTCATAGTCATGATACACAGCCTAAGCAAGAACGTTTTATATGTGAAGTTTTCAAATAACAAAAATTTAAGCCTAACAGATATGACCACGAAAATTTTTGAAGTGAAGGTCACTTTGTAATTTTCAATGTAAGGAGTTAATTATTCTTTTTATGGGATAAGATCTTTGTGCCAAACAAGATTTAAGTCAAAGGCCATGATGACCTTATCTTTAAAATAGGAAATAGGAACATGCATTAAACTTGTGACACACCATTTAGAAATTTTATGTAAATGAAATAGATATGTGAATATACCGCATAAATATATATAATGAAGCAGAACTGACAAACGCATGCGCGAAAAAATCGACGAACACGAAAAACTCTACATTATCACACATATGTCTCCCAACTTAAATAACAGGGTATACATATGTAACTCTAAACAATAATAGGGTATACATATATACCTCTAAAAGCAAACCAAGCATCGATTTCTTGAAATAGCATCATCCAGTTTGATTACTAGTATCAAGGTTAATAGCTGAAAGATCAAAATTTTATGTTTCAATGAGTGTCTGATATTAGACAAATATTTTTTTTCCTAAAGATATTTTAATTCTAAAATTGAACGTCGCAGAAAGTTTAAAAAAATCATTTCCATGCTGTAGATATAGTAATATGTACTTCCATCTCTTACAAGGCGACGCGATTAAGCTGAAAGAAAACTTACACGTTTTGCATTGAATCTGTCAGATCCATGAATATACTGCAAACCAACTACTATTCGCGTACGAGAAATATCCGCGAGTTTCGTGACCTACTTTAACTCGCAAATATTAATCGCCGCGAACCATTTATTTTGCTTCGTATTTGTAGAGGATGTTAGCTCAGTCGCGAAAATTAATCGTCTCGGATTGATTTCAAACTGACGAATCTCGAATAAAGGATGACGCGAATAATAGTTGGTTTTACAGTAACCTAAATACAATTGTCTGTGCATCAAAGAATGTTTTGTTCACAATGCAATTCCTTTAAATTGTTGGTTTTCTTCTAACCTTCGAATACGTTGTATATGGCAATCAAAATACATTATTACTGTGATAATGTGTCCTGGAATTTCTTTGCTTAAAAAAAAAACAAACTGGCATGAAACCATATTTAATGTATTTCTACTTTTATTCTTTTATTTAAGATTTTCACATTTGATGTATACTAAGAAATACATCAAATGTAAATAGATATGTTTCATGAAAATTAATATATACACTTAAAAAACCAACAGTAATAAGACTAGAAAAATACCAATAAATATATGAATCAATTCAACAAAAACACGCACACATTTTAATTAGTACCCGAATAAAGCGAGTGACCGATACGAAATTGAAATTCGCGATGAATAAAACGCAAATTACTTTCCTCCTATACAGTTCCATCCCCACAATCAGGATATTGGCAATTGAAATTACCACTAAAACTCAATCCTATATCTCCTGGGATTTGTCGAAACGGGCGGAGTGGAAGATCTTGTGGGGCACCTGTAGGTTCGCCCCATGGTGAGGGAAGATACGGGGATTGGCGGTAAAAGTGAACGTTTATGTCTTGTTGGTGGTATTTTTCGGGTTTCTGGGGCAACGAAGAAAATGGAGAACTTTTCAAATTTGCTGCTTGTTTTTTAGTTCCTTTTAATGAAATACCCAACAGCTCCAGAAAATTTGGTGGAAAAGTGTTAGATTGCCTGGTCGTCAGTTTCTCTGTATTAAACATGCTTGGTTGGGTAGAAGATTCTACAATGGACGGAGTAAGATGACCTTGGTTTGGTCCGGTCAAATAGAACGGCCGTTTATTGTCCCGGCTTTTTGGAACAGGTGTTGTGGGAAACTGTGTTTCAGGCTGGTGGTAGTTTTTCTCATGTGAGAGAAATAAGGGACCAGTAGTTCCGGTGGCATATATTTTGGAACCATCAAAAGTATATGGTGCTTTAACTGAATCATCAGATTTTGCATCTGGATTGAAAAGTTTCTTGAAATGTTGCTTGTATGATATTGAATTAACTCCATTTTCAATGTAAAATTCATTAGATGGACTATATAAATTGCTAGTAATTTGAGGCCTTTCATGAACAATTCGGTTCTGGCTTAGTCCATTCTTAGATAATTGACCTCGATTTTGTTTGCCATCTGTAGATGACACTTGGAGACTATTTCCACCAGAAAACACATTGTTTTCTATCGAGCCACTAAGTGTGAAAATGGGTCGCAGGTGGCTACCCAACACAGAGCTATCTGTAAACATTGAGCGATCTTTTGAAATCTGACTAGTTAATTTTGGAATCTTTGCTTGAACTTTTTCACTGACAGTCTTTTCAGATGAAATACTATTTCCAGAAAGTTTTGAAATAGTATTGACAACTGGAATACCAACTCGATTTCTTATCGGTAGTTTTCTGTACGTTTGAGTGTAAGGTTTTTGAGTTTTATAATTTACATCTTTATGTCTTCTAAGAGATGTTTGTTGCTTTCTAGATAAATTGATATTCACTTTCCTAGGGTGCGTGGGTTGCTGAACACGATAGGGTTTCCTTTTCGTTCCATCTTGAGGCTTCGTCCCAAAAACAGTCCTCGAGCTACTTCTGTGTTTACCTGTTGTTGGGTTCCGCGTGGGGTTTCCAACGGAAAAGCTGTTATTGTAATGCGTTATGACAAAGTTTTTCACTTTTGTAGTATCTGTGCGTTGTTTCTTGGTCGTTTTTGATTGGCTAGGAATTTTAACATCTACATCTGTTTTTTTCTTGGTAGTATATAGTAAGTTGAATTGAGAACCACCTGTGTTTTTCTGCTTTGGATTCTCAAGTTTTTTAAGAAACATTTTGAAATCATCCAAACCTTTAGCCATCCACTCCAGAGACGGTTTTCTGTCCACTGCTTTATCACTAATTTTCGTTGTCCATGATTTTTCTCGAGCAATTGTCTTGGTTGCAGGAGTTGATGAGGATGCCCAGATTTCGTTCTTGATAATTATCCCTGTTACTTTTTTCCCTGTTTTATGGAATGATTTTGCACTGTCTGAAATAAGGAAGAGATCCGACGTATTAATTATCATAAAACACATAAATAATGCATTTGTGAAAATACGTAAATTTATTATAATCACCCATTAATAAACCTTAAAGTTGAAATGTATGGGTTTCTCATTTGCATTTGTGATTTATATACTGGTATAATATCGAAATGGTTATCTTTCCAAAAACAAAGTACGCCTCACTTTATATTATTTAAAGTTAGATGTTATATTTCATAAAATGATGGTAGAATTGGCAACAAATGAAGAGAATTCGTACCATTCATCCGGATAAATGCTGAATCATGTTTTCTTTTTCTTATACATTTGTTTTTAGTGCTTTGCATATTAGACAGATATAGATATGATTTGTCTTGATGAATTATAAATATTATAATTTCGCTCTTTCTGTGGAACCACATGAGTCAATGTAGCTATAACTTTTCGTCTCAGTTCTTGTAAGATGTCATGTCAAAATAAATTAAGAGAAAAGCAAATATCAAGATTCTAGCAATTATGTGAAGGAATAATTTAAACCATTCGAATTCACGAATTGATCCTCATATTAAAATCCAAGGTTAAATTACAGTGTTATACTGCATTTAAGTAATTCGAAGTCCTTCGAATGAATTCTTTGAAAAAATAATTTCTTTATTGTAAATAAATGAATACTAACGAGTAAAACATTTCCATTTGAGGATTACATATCAAATAAGGTTGCTTTTAACATTGAAAATTAAATTTTTTAAACTCTAGAAGAAATGGATGTGCTATTGCTAAGGATATGTTATAATCGTTTATTCTTTTGAAGAAGCTACTAGTTCCACCACTAAAATAAACTGCTAGCGAAGATGGAATTGTTAATCAAGATTCTACAACTGTCTATGTTAGATATTGTTCTAATCTTCAAACATTACCATGTTTTGATTCCTTGTTTTTCATTTTGGATTCTTTGGTGCCAAGCAGCGAGTAGTTGATGAAATATGGCCTCATTGATGGGCGTTTGTCAACCATTTCTCTCAGTTCTGGAACTTCTATCTGTAAACCACTCAGTGATAGGTTTGGAGTTCTTCGTATTTCATTTTTGAGTCGCTTTGCTTTTGACAGTTGTTTTGCAGAAACAGTACTGTTTTTGAAATTTTCTTTCTCGATGTTTGCACCGACATTTGAATGACTTTCAGGTAGTGGAAATGAAGTTGTCTCAGACAGTGTTGTTTTCACTGAAGATTAAATAAGTTTCATAATTTCAAAATACATGTATAATGCTAATGAATGCACTGTAAGGAGATAATCCTGTGTCTCCTTTAATGTTAACATTATAAACTCTCTTAATCTACTGGATGATATTTCTATCATTAAACCTGTCAACATGACAGTGATTTATGACAAAAGTCTTCTTCATGTTTAAAAAGATAATGCAATTTAAATTCCATGTTGTTGCTCAGATTGTTGAACCGAAAAACTGTTACACGTTCTACTGTAATTAATTTCAATTATATGTTGATAACTGATATTTTGATTTTAAGCATTTACAAAGTTTAATGATATAATGAAATTTCAGGTCGTATAAATGCATCAAGGTTGCTATGAGGATGAAAACCACAATTCCTTGATAGAATAATTACTTTTTAATTGATTTCATACTGCGTGAAGGAAAGAATACTGATCAATCATATTTATATATCTCGTGAAAAAAATAAAGTTAATAGAGTTTACCTATTGATGGTTAGCGTCCTTTGTATGATAACTTACCTGTACATACAGTGTTGTAAATGACTTTGGAAAGCTGATATATCTCACTAAAGTTATTTATTTGATATATTGGATTTTGGAAGGTCAGCAAGTCTCTTAGATCCCCTTCCTGAGTATCTGGTCCCACTCCAATGGGAATTGTTATTACTCCCGCACTTCTTAAGTATCTTATTTCTCGTAACACAACATTCTTATTATGCACTCTATCACTTATTATCACAATAGCAACCCGCCTACTTCCATGGCGGTAATTGTTTGAAAATTCTTTTCGAAGTTCTGTTAAGGCACGAAAAAGTAAAGGTTTTCCTCCTGTTTGTCTTAACTTTGTCACTTTATTCACAAATTGATTGTTTTCTATGCTTGGGACTATGCTAATTTTATTGGTCACTTGGGACCCGTAAAGGATGGCCCCAAACCGGACATGGCCGGAGAGGACATGATATTGAGCAGGTTCTGATGCTACAAAGCTAACTTCATGCAGAAAATCTGTTGTAGATAAACTGTCTGAACCGTCTAATACGAAAATTACATCTGCGACTTGATAACAACCTAAAAAGTAATGCATAGAGTTATCAAATCGGTATTATTATAAAATACAGTCATAGAAATGAAAAGTATAAAATAATTCAAAATATAAAAAAAAAACTACTGGTATTGTAAATGATCTCTGAAAACACCAGAGGCAATACGAAAGTAACAGCATTCTAATTGTTGGTTCAAAATGTACATAACATTTTAAAGAAATGTTATAATAATTAAACGTTAAAAACAGTTAAGAAAAAGTTGTAAACTAATAACAAATTAAAAAAATGATAAATCTTACCTAAACAGATTGAAGTCACCGAAAGCCAATAAATATAAAGGAACTTCATTCTTATTTGTGAAAATAATCATCTCATATCACAACTGAAATCCAGCATCAAGACCTTCCTCATTATGCTAATCTACAATCATGCTCAATATAATGAAAAGCTTTCATTATAGTCCACTTCAAAGAGAAGAAATAGATCCTGCTCTTCCCTTAATGTTAGGCTGAATCTCATTCGTATTCTACGAAAAATATTCATTCCTGTTGTATATAACGTTAAAGAAAGCGCTCTCTCTGATTAGCATTCACATTGTCAAATGCCATCAAAGTCGGTGGTACTGTTTTATATGCTGAGGGTTATTTGAATACCTCCGAGTCTGTATAAGGCTTTGATTTATTAACTATCCCTGGCTGACATAATAAAGACTGTTGTGGCTTCAAGATCATTTACACGAAACCGTCAATTAAAACTTCACAAAACAAAAACATTCAGAAAGTTATTTTTTTTTAATAAATTTATTTTAAAAGATATGTACAACGGGGCGAAACAGAGTCTTTTTTTGCTTGTCCATTTCGTTTGGTTTAATGATTACATCAATTAAATAAATAAGCGAGTGTAAGTAATTTTCCTTTGGGAGACATTACTTTTGTTTTACACTTACTCATTGGATGGCAGCATTAGATGTTTACTTGTCTCGGGATTTTGTCAGAGCTGACATTTATTACAGAAACATCTTAATGAAAATTATACTTAAGCTCCGTCTTTGACCAATAGTCGGGGAAAACTCTATTTATTTATTCTAATTCTTTAAGCTCATCGAAAAAAATTATAATAATAATAAATATATCTGTGCTCTAAATGTATATAAATCTGCTCTTTCTTATAATCATTCATCTATTCCACGTGGAATTAATAAATACAGTGTACCTTCATAAATAAATTCTCTCTTAGAGACGTTTAGTGAAGCAATGAATTAAATTCTAACTTTGTGTTGAAGTTTTCATAGCATAATTAAGGTTATGCTTAAAATTACTTATAATCTCTCATCCAGTTAAAATGTCATACCAATTATTGCACATCCCTTTTCTTAAATATTTCCTTAAAGAAAACTTCACCACACATGAGTTTTGAAAATGTCATTAAAAGGCAGATATCAGACTGCATTAAGTTGCAACACATTTTTACATGCAATATAAGTACTTTTACTTAGAAATGTTAAATTTCACATTGGAAATGGAACACACAGTGTCCAGTTCTACTTCTGAGGTAATGATATTAGAAAGTAAAATTTTTCTTTCTGTAATTTTTTTTTATTATTATTATTTTATTTTGGCTGTCTTCCACTTTCAAAGATTTTGATTGAAACAGAAAATACCTGTAAAATAAATTATATTGATTTCATACCAAAATATATAAAAATAGTTAAGAACTTACTTGGTTTGGCAAAATATTTTCCTTGTTTAGCTCTAAAAAGAACAGAAAGCAAATATACATCAGTTTTCTTAATTCTCCTGCTGAAAAATACTGACGTTATCAAAAAATGAAAAATAAGCAGCGAAATAATGTCAAATGAAAAAAAAAACTATAGCATCTGTCTGCCTGCCTTGAACTTTAGGCATTGGAATAGTAAATGAATAAGAAGCGTCATTTAAATGCAGTTTTTAGTATATGCATTTTTTTTCTCATGAAAAACGGTTGCGATCGTATATTTACCTGGTATTTTCCTAGATTGTACTTCAAGAGAGACAATCAAGGAGTTATTTTTCTGACAGTCAAACACATTAGTTTAATTTCAAAATTGTCCAGAAAAAAATCTTTAGATCTATAGAATGACAAAATAATTGTAAAACTGTGCGTTTGCAGATGTCAAAATGTTATGTCAGCTGCAGGTAAATCTAATTAATATTCTACAAAAATTATAAAGGTAATGCAAAGAAAACAAGAGAAATCCTTCTGGCTTGAATAAGGGTCGGAGATAACACAAGTTATAATGACATGCATATCAAAAGATTATCTAGAAAAAAGCTCAGAATCTTCTGACGTATTGACAGCAGCCATTATTCAAATTTAAAACAAACAGGAAATGAATGTTCATCTATATTGTATTCAGAGTGTTCTTATGTAAAAACAATTAATTATTAACATTTACAAAATGTGTGAATTAATGCAAAAAACTTCCTTTATATAAATCTACTTTGTTTTTCTGTATTAAGGAGCTTATTGTATTAAGTAATTTATTCGATATATCTCCTTTGAAGAATTAATTATAATTTAGAAACCAAAGATCAAATACGTACATATTGTTTATTCTAGCTTCCGATTGAAATTTGCGCAATTTTTTTTCAATTACTTTTTTGTAGTAAGTTCCATTTATGTTGATTGATATGAATGTTGTTACTTTAAATTCCGTGTACAATTAATTGGTCTACTTAAACAGAGATACAAGCTTAATCAAAGAGAGAAGACAAATCACGAGATAATGGATTTATTAAATTCACTCTGACTTTTAAGCAGTATTTATATAGTATACTTGGTTATAGTTGGAAAAAGGTTTTTTGAATGACTTTCTTTGGTTCTTTCCATTACAGTCGTAAGATGGTGGTCTGTTTTATATACCAGTATATTATTTCATATATTTAATAAAAAAAGAAGACATTACCATATGTCTACAGTGAAAAATGGCAAGAATCCCCATTCCTGTAACTCTTTTAAATATGTCATCATTGTACAAGTACAAAGATTATTTAATTTTTTTTCGAAGATTAAAGCACTTTTTCAATTATTTTCTGACAAAATACGAGATGTATCACTTACCATCCGTAAAATCATCTCCATGCATCACGTCTGTATGACAAATGGTCTACTTTTTCAAATGTCGTACAATTAAAGATATAATCTCTTGACACAAAAAGTAATTACCCTAATGATTCATTTTAAGATGCATAATTAATAATGACTCGTACTTGAGAACTGTATCCTTTAAATCATTCTCTAATGGCTTTGACCTTTTGAAAGGATCTGGTTTGAAGGTTAAGTGGGCAAATTACATAATTAATCTTAAGTCTTTAATTTTCTAGTTATATAAAATGATACTTTCATTCACCAACCTTAACAAATGTGATTTGATAGAACAATAAGCTAGTCATATAAGACGATAACAAGATTCTGATTTCAATATTCAAAATAATATTCCAGTCAACGAAGATGAGTTTGATCTGCCCTACTTATACTAGATTTCTAAATTTCATGAAAATCCTTACAAACAAATATACATTGCCGGGTCCAGCAAATGTTCTAACAAGCCTCTATCGATTTACTTCACACAAAAATATGAACTGCTGTGAAGGAGAAATTTTAGACAAACTGTGTTACAGCATTTTTGAGAAGGTGTAAATCAAATGTGGATTTTCAAAAAACTCCAATGAAATTTTACAAAATTTTCAAAAGTCAGTAACATCAAAACATTGACATTTCAACTCTTTATAGAACCATTTCTCACGATAAGTTAAAAGCTTGGCTTTTTCATATCATAAGAAATGCTTCTTCAATAAAAATGGAACTCAGAAATTCTAATATCTTGTGATTGTTCATCAACAAAAATTACTTTGTTAAAAAATCACTGATTCTACACACAAGTACTCTAAAGTTGATATTTTAAAAGGATGCTGGAGTTCCTCATTGAAATCATTTATATAGTCTTTGGAGACAGGATCTTCCAACAAACTGTTGGAAATTTAATGGACACTAATTATGCTCCATTATTAGCCGACTGGTTTTTATATTCCTATGAAAGAAAACTTATTCAAAAACTTCTACACTGGAGGAAGAAAACACTTGCATTCTTCAACTCGACATTCTGATATATCAACAACATTACCGACAATATCAACAATACTAACTTCCATTTATATGTCGACTCGATGTATCCTAGTGAACTCGAAATTAAAAACCCCTTAGAATCTGCCACATCTGCTTCATATTTGAATGCTTTCTGACTATAGAAGATAAGAGCCAGCTAACAACTAAATTGAATGACAGACAAGATGAATTCAGCTTTTCTACCGTCAACTTTCCTTATCTATGTAGTAATATTCAGCTATCACCCACAATTGGTGTTTATGCCTCCCAACGTATTTGAAACCCAAGAATACTGTCAATTTTTAAGCTTAGGAAGCTAATGACAGATAAGTTGATGTTACAGGGATTTCAATCGTTCAAAGAAACCATTTCGTAAATTATATGGTCATTATAATTACCTTGTTAGCAAATATAACCTATAATTGGGTCTTATTTTTACTTACATGTTACATACCAATTTTAGGCCTTTGTTTTTATACTAAATTTGACTACGGAATATTTCGTCTACCTGACCATACAAAGAGCGGGTGTGACCGGTCGACAGGAGATGCTTACTCCTCTTAGGCACTGATCCTATCTCTGGAATTTCCGCGGTCCATGGTTTATGCCTTGTCCATAGATTTGTATTGTTTTTAGTTCTTTTTTAAGATTGATCACCGTTCGTTATCTTCTTCTTTTTCATTCGTACTGCTCGAGCTGAAATGCATACCCTGGTGAAGCGATGACCCTTTCCGAATTACAGCATCAATGCTGATTTCCTTAAATGCATAACTTACTGAATTCAATGGCTGTTATACATGGTCTCCTTATTCTGATGCTCAAAACTACAGGTAACAATGTTATACGTCGTAGATATCTTGAATTTCGGCATGCCAAGTTTTGTTTTTGAATACTAGTAATAAATACATACATTTTAAACTATAGATTCTAAAAAATAAATAGCATTGCGTCAAGGGTTCTAGGATAATTTGAATATAGTTATGCAAGTTATGCTTGCTATAGATTATGATTGCGTGCTGGTTCCTGTTAATATAAGTGTCTGTGCTTTGTATATAGTGAAAAGTAAAATTCAACAATAAATCTGCAAATATTTTTTTCTAGTCAAATTTGTTCTCTCTCTCTCTCTCTCTCTCTCTCTCTCTCTCTCTCTCTCTCTCTCTCTCTCTCTCTCTCTCTCTCTCCCGTAATTATAATAAAAACATATCTAATTAAATATAGAACAAATATTTATGTTTCTCCTAAAGGAAAGGGACTACATATACTTGGTTTTGGTTTAGCCGTTTGTCTGCCTGTCACAAATCGTGTCCAAATCATTATTCTTTGATCCTAATTTGGAAAGTTCTCAAATGTGATAACGTTGTAAATCAAATATTGACTCTTCCATGGCACCTGATCC